AAACAAAAGTAATAGCCTTCTAGCGAAAAAATTAATCTTTAACCACTGAAAATTTCAAAGCAATTGGTCCAGTATTCGAAGAGAAAAGAGACTTTTTAAAAACGTGTCAAAGAACAAGAACAACAAGAGAGCTATGCTCAAATATATGGACACGTAGAGTCACATAATTTTGATGACGTCATAGCGAAAAAAAAGTAATAGCCTTCTGGAGAAAATTTTTATCTTTAACCACTAAAAATTTCAAAGCAATTGGTCCAGTATTCGAAGAGAAAAGCGACTTTTAAAAACGTGTCAAGCGGTACTGAGTTAGCAGTCAGGCAGCATCTTACCTGTACACTGTAGGCCATATACGGTAATTGATCACAGAACAGTTGTTCCCTTGCAAATTTTATGTTGTTTACACTTTAGGACAGATAATTGATCACAGAACAATTCTTCCCTTTCAAATTTTATGTTGTTTCCAGTAGACTCTCATCAAAATAAACAAATATAGTAGGCTACAAGTGCTACAACGCTTGCATTACTGCACTGGTAGGACCGTGAAAGAATAAGTTACGGTAATTTCATTGTGGTAAGACACCGGTACCGGCACCAGTACCAGTATCGTACTTACGTACTGAGCTACCAGTACCGGTTAGCAGTCAGCCAGCATCTTACCTGTACACTGTAGGCCATATACGGTAATTGATCACAGAACAGTTGTTCCCTTGCAAATTTTATGTTGTTTACACTTTAGGACAGATAATTGATCACAGAACAATTCTTCCCTTTCAAATTTTATGTTGTTTCCAGTAGACTCTCATTAAAATAAACAAATATAGTAGGCTACAAGTGCTACAACGCTTGCATTACTGCACTGGTAGGACCGTGAAAGAATAAGTTACGGTAATTTCATTGTGGTAAGACACCGGTACCGGCACCAGTACCAGTATCGTACTTACGTACTGAGCTACCAGTACCGGTACCGAACCTGTAGGTCTGATATTCCGTTCCGCATTGCATTGCAGCATTAGTGATACCGCGGAAGGAATAACTCAATTTCACTGCGTTACGGTACCTGTATGGCAACTTACCAGTACCGACCTACAGTAGCTGTAGTACTGAGCAAGACAATCGATCGCGAAACCGCTTGAAATAAGTGTAAAACAGTGTTCCCATGAGTAAAAATAAATACCGCGAAATTTTGTATGAAATATCATATCTCATAGGATTCATATAAAATTTAAGAATAAACAAAAGTAATAGCCTTCTAGCGAAAAAATTAATCTTTAACCACTGAAAATTTCAAAGCAATTGGTCCAGTATTCGAAGAGAAAAGCGACTTTTTAAAAACGTGTCAAAGAACAACAACAAGAACAAGAACAAGAGAGCTATGCTCAAATATATGGACACGTAGAGTCACATAATTTTGATGACGTCATAGCGAAAAAAGAAGTAATAGCCTTCTGGAGAAAATTTTTATCTTTAACCACTAAAAATTTCAAAGCAATTGGTCCAGTATTCGAAGAGAAAAGCGACTTTTTAAAAACGTGTCAAGCGGTACTGAGTTAGCAGTCAGGCGGCATCTTACCTGTACACTGTAGGCCATATACGGTAATTGATCACAGAACAGTTGTTCCCTTGCAAATTTTATGTTGTTTACACTTTAGGACAGATAATTGATCACAGAACAATTCTTCCCTTTCAAATTGTATGTTGTTTCCAGTAGACTCTCATCAAAATAAACAAATATAGTAGGCTACAAGTGCTACAACGCTTGCATTACTGCACTGGTAGGACCGTGAAAGAATAAGTTACGGTAATTTCATTGTGGTAAGACACCGGTACCGGCACCAGTACCAGTATCGTACTTACGTACTGAGCTACCAGTACCGGTTAGCAGTCAGCCAGCATCTTACCTGTACACTGTAGGCCATATACGGTAATTGATCACAGAACAGTTGTTCCCTTGCAAATTTTATGTTATTTACACTTTAGGACAGATAATTGATCACAGAACAATTCTTCCCTTTCAAATTTTATGTTGTTTTCAGTAGACTCTCATCAAAATAAACAAATATAGTAGGCTACAAGTGCTACAACGCTTGCATTACTGCACTGGTAGGACCGTGAAAGAATAAGTTACGGTAATTTCATTGTGGTAAGACACCGGCACCAGTACCAGTATCGTACTTACGTACTGAGCTACCAGTACCGGTACCGAACCTGTAGGTCTGATATTCCGTTCCGCATACGATAGGCTATAAAACTTGCATTGCAGCATTAGTAATACCGCGGAAGGAATAAGTCAATTTCACTGCGTTACGGCACCGGTATGGCAACTTACCAGTACCGACCTACAGTAGCTGTAGTACTGAGCAAGACAATCGATCGCGAAACCGCTTGAAATAAGTGTAAAACAGTGTTCCCATGAGTACAAATAAATACCGCGAAATTTTGTATGAAATATCATATCTCATAGGATTCATATAAAATTTAAGAATAAACAAAAGTAATAGCCTTCTAGCGAAAAAATTAATCTTTAATCACTGAAAATTTCAAAGCAATTGGTCCAGTATTCGAAGAGAAAAGCGACTTTTTAAAAACGTGTCAAGCGGTACTGAGTTAGCAGTCAGGCAGCATCTTACCTGTACACTGTAGGCCATATACGGTAATTGATCACAGAACAGTTGTTCCCTTGCAAATTTTATGTTGTTTACACTTTAGGACAGATAATTGATCACAGAACAATTCTTCCCTTTCAAATTGTATGTTGTTTCCAGTAGACTCTCATCAAAATAAACAAATATAGTAGGCTACAAGTGCTACAACGCTTGCATTACTGCACTGGTAGGACCGTGAAAGAATAAGTTACGGTAATTTCATTGTGGTAAGACACCGGTACCGGCACCAGTACCAGTATCGTACTTACGTACTGAGCTACCAGTACCGGTTAGCAGTCAGCCAGCATCTTACCTGTACACTGTAGGCCATATACGGTAATTGATCACAGAACAGTTGTTCCCTTGCAAATTTTATGTTATTTACACTTTAGGACAGATAATTGATCACAGAACAATTCTTCCCTTTCAAATTTTATGTTGTTTTCAGTAGACTCTCATCAAAATAAACAAATATAGTAGGCTACAAGTGCTACAACGCTTGCATTACTGCACTGGTAGGACCGTGAAAGAATAAGTTACGGTAATTTCATTGTGGTAAGACACCGGCACCAGTACCAGTATCGTACTTACGTACTGAGCTACCAGTACCGGTACCGAACCTGTAGGTCTGATATTCCGTTCCGCATACGATAGGCTATAAAACTTGCATTGCAGCATTAGTAATACCGCGGAAGGAATAAGTCAATTTCACTGCGTTACGGCACCGGTATGGCAACTTACCAGTACCGACCTACAGTAGCTGTAGTACTGAGCAAGACAATCGATCGCGAAACCGCTTGAAATAAGTGTAAAACAGTGTTCCCATGAGTAAAAATAAATACCGCGAAATTTTGTATGAAATATCATATCTCATAGGATTCATATAAAATTTAAGAATAAACAAAAGTAATAGCCTTCTAGCGAAAAAATTAATCTTTAATCACTGAAAATTTCAAAGCAATTGGTCCAGTATTCGAAGAGAAAAGTGACTTTTTAAAAACGTGTCAAGCGGTACTGAGTTAGCAGTCAGGCAGCATCTTACCTGTACACTGTAGGCCATATACGGTAATTGATCACAGAACAGTTGTTCCCTTGCAAATTTTATGTTGTTTACACTTTAGGACAGATAATTGATCACAGAACAATTCTTCCCTTTCAAATTGTATGTTGTTTCCAGTAGACTCTCATCAAAATAAACAAATATAGTAGGCTACAAGTGCTACAACGCTTGCATTACTGCACTGGTAGGACCGTGAAAGAATAAGTTACGGTAATTTCATTGTGGTAAGACACCGGTACCGGCACCAGTACCAGTATCGTACTTACGTACTGAGCTACCAGTACCGGTTAGCAGTCAGCCAGCATCTTACCTGTACACTGTAGGCCATATACGGTAATTGATCACAGAACAGTTGTTCCCTTGCAAATTTTATGTTATTTACACTTTAGGACAGATAATTGATCACAGAACAATTCTTCCCTTTCAAATTTTATGTTGTTTTCAGTAGACTCTCATCAAAATAAACAAATATAGTAGGCTACAAGTGCTACAACGCTTGCATTACTGCACTGGTAGGACCGTGAAAGAATAAGTTACGGTAATTTCATTGTGGTAAGACACCGGCACCAGTACCAGTATCGTACTTACGTACTGAGCTACCAGTACCGGTACCGAACCTGTAGGTCTGATATTCCGTTCCGCATACGATAGGCTATAAAACTTGCATTGCAGCATTAGTAATACCGCGGAAGGAATAAGTCAATTTCACTGCGTTACGGCACCGGTATGGCAACTTACCAGTACCGACCTACAGTAGCTGTAGTACTGAGCAAGACAATCGATCGCGAAACCGCTTGAAATAAGTGTAAAACAGTGTTCCCATGAGTAAAAATAAATACCGCGAAATTTTGTATGAAATATCATATCTCATAGGATTCATATAAAATTTAAGAATAAACAAAAGTAATAGCCTTCTAGCGAAAAAATTAATCTTTAATCACTGAAAATTTCAAAGCAATTGGTCCAGTATTCGAAGAGAAAAGCGACTTTTTAAAAACGTGTCAAAGAACAAGAACAACAACAAGAACAACAACAACATAATATTGAAACGATCGTTATGTCCACTACGTGTCCAACAACAACAACATAATATTGAAACGATCGTTATGTCCACTACGTGTCCAACAACATAATATTGAAACGATCGTTATGTCCACTACGTGTCCAATAACGAAAATCATTCATTTTTTGTATGTAGACTATGCCCCGTTACAGCAATTTAAGGCTTCACCTTGTTCTCGAATTAATTTTACAAAGTTTTTAATTATTTTCAGTACCTACTTTTTAACAAGGTACCGGTACCGCACTCAATGTTTGCTAAGATTGCAAGACAGTCTGTAGTAAACGCGGAACATCTAAAAGTATTTTTTTTGAAGAAACCTCGTATAACTGTATTAGTAGGAGCTACGTGACAGATGAAAATGGAATCTTTTTTTATTGAGAAAGATCCGGATCCATCGAAACGAACTTTTGCGCAGGATGACAAATTGCCATCTCTTCCATTGCCAGAGCTAAATGATTCTATCCAGAAATACATTGATTCTTGCAAAGCAGGTGCTGTATTCTAATAATAGATTTTTGATGTTTTTGGTAATACTGAAAAAAGTAAAATGGTAACCAGAGAAGAGGGGAAAAAATGGGGTCTGGTATAGTTTAGTACCACATCCACTTCTAGTTGGCCTGGCTCAACAATTTTTGCATATGTCAATCCTAACCCCCACTTGACTAGGTCACCGAAAAATTACGTCATTCCGACGTCACAGTGGCGTAATAAGGCCCACCGAAGTATGCGGATGGTCGTCCAAAACGCGCAGACGATAACCCGAAATCGAGCAAGCTATTTCTCTCGTTTTCTCGTCGCAACGATCACGATAGGAGAGAGATCGCCGGCTTCAGCAAGTTCTTATCGGCGGCGCAGATGCCATTTCGGGCGACCGTAATCATACTTTGGCAATCCCTATGACGTGATGGTGGCGTCGTAGTGACGTAATTTTTGGATGGCATAGTCAGGTGAGGGTTAGGAATAACATATGCAAAAATCGTTATGCTACGCCCACTGGATGTACTTGTATGTACCAAAAAATGGTCTAGCGCATATTCTCACTTATGTCGCCAAAGTAACCGATTCAAGTTTTTAGCAAAGCAACTTGCATGCTCTTGGGGATTTGCAGGAAGAAATGACTACCGGTATATTACAGAAACATTAAATGCATAAGACAAGCATAACCTTCTATTTATTCTCTCATTTTTTAAATGCTATTTCAGTGTAAATCCCTCAATTTCAGTATTTGAACTGATTCTAAAATTTCAACTGACTTATATTTCAGCACAATATAACATGATATTGTTTTTGCTTTTGTTTTTTTTCTAAATTTTCTGTTCAAAATTTTTATTAGCTGTCACGAAAGAAGAATTTCTGAATACTCAACGTATCGCTGAGAACTTTGTGAAAAATGAGGGGGTACAACTTCATGAATCTCTTCTGCGAAGAAGTCAAGGTATAATATATTTGATGCCACTAAATTGGTAATCGTTATACTAAAGACCACAAAGTAATATAAAAATTGCGCTTGACAAGACACAATTTTTTCAGAAAAAATATATTTGTTATTGTTAAAAGAAAAGTTGCTCAGAGTAAGCATTTTATAAATAAATGCATGTATACTTTTATAATATATTTGATGTCACTAAATTGGTAATCGTTATACTAAAGACCACAAAGTAATATAAAAATTGCGCTTGACAAGACACAATTTTTTCAGAAAAAATATATTTGTTATTGTTAAAAGAAAAGTTGCTCAGAGTAAGCATTTTATAAATAAATGCATGTATACTTTTATTGGAAGAGGGTGTAAATAGCAGGTATATGAACTATCCCATTACTGCCTAATTTTCTGTATTTTTTCCTCACAGTTGTCGTACTTATTTTTTTCACAACATACTTATCAATATTGCGAGTACTAGGCCAAGTATGGTTGCAGTTAAAAATAATTAGTTCTATATCTTTATATAGAGCAGGCTTGGATTTGAATTTTTGTGTTGTACTTTAATGGATACCTAGCCTACTGTCTAGTACCGCACACATAATGGGAAGTTGCATTTATTAGTATAATGCCCGCAAAGTATTGAATAGCCTACAATATATAGGTTTTGTCTGGGGTTTGAAAAAAGTTACTATTCCAGTGAGTTCAGTATAAACACTTGCTTTATATGATAATTTTGTTATTTCATCTGATTTTGGCAGTTAAAAGAAACTGGTTGGATGAATGGTGGACCGATGGTTACTTAAAATTCCGTGGAGCATCTGGAAATCTTAATTTTACTGGAATTCCTGTGTTTAGCTATTGGCCAGTCGATTCATCAGATCAGGTTTGTTGGAATACATGTGCATTTATATCCTGGAAAATCTTGTGTGTGTAAAAGGTGAAAAAAAATAAATGCATTATTGAAAAGAATGTATTGGTAATGCATTATGCTTGTCAAATTGATGGATTAAAAGAAGTCCATGGTTTATGCTTAGTTAGACAGCTATGCTATTTCATGCTTTGTAATTCCAGTGGGATTTCTTCAGTTATGTGGAATTCATAACCTAATGACTGTTTTCCTTAATGTATTAACACAAACTGCTGTTGACATTTTATTTGGTCATCCATAGCTTCACTCAGTAATAATTGTGTGAGTTCTTGTTACATGTGTATTATGCTTTCATTAATATTTGCTGATAGTATTTTCAATTCTACCTCGTCAATCGTTGAAATGTTCAGATCAAGAGTGCAGCATGGCAATTACATTTTGTAATGAAATATTGGTCTCTTCTACGCGAAGAAAAGTTGAAACAGCAGAAAGATAGCAGAGGAAATAGTTTTACAATGTATCAGTTCAGGTTTGTCTTCTTAGTAATTTATTACACTATGGGTGAAGCGCTGAACACAAGCGCTGAACATTGGGATGAGAGTTTCAGAAATAAATCCTATTCTATTTATTTTTATCTTCAATGACCTAGTAGATAGTGGGGATTCCTCCACCACATCGCTAAATTAAAAATTTTAAAAAGCAAAATTGTAGAGGTGTTAGCAACTTTTATTCACATTTTGAAATTACTTCTGCCTCTAATTACAAAGATTACAATTCCTGATTTCTCATAAATGTATTTGTAATTTTGTATGATGTATTTACAACAGGTTCTTATTCAATACTTGTCGAATACCATATAAAGAAACAGATGAATTGTTCAATTGTTTCAAAACAATTTATGAGGGAGACTGTCCGACACATATTATTATTTTCTATCGCAAAAGAATATACAAGATAGAAAGCGTCTCAAAAACAGGTAGGCAGACCAACATATTTGGTTAATGTTAGCACATATGGAGTTGATTCATATGTTCTGAGAACATTTAATTGAATTACAAGCTTACACAGTTGCCGAATTTATGTCCGATTAAAGATTGTAAAATTTGTATATCACATTCATTCTCAAATTTTTTTGCGAGATTTGTTTTTTAATCCGAGAACCAAGCTTTATTATTTTTTTTTTGCAATTTGTAAAAACAATTTTTTTTAAGTTATTAGTTGGAACATGCTGTCAAGATAAGTATAGGTACTGACTTGTAAGTTTTATTATTTTGTTTGCTGATGTGACAGCAATCAAGCACTTAATGTTTGCTTTTCGAGCACAGTGTGTTTGCTGTCTTTTGCAGCTCTGTTCAGGGGATTGTGATTTATAGGAACTTGTATTACTAGAAATCGTATGCTTGGGTAGTGTGATAATAGCTCTCATGTTAAATAGAATCGGTTACAGGTTTTAAATTCTTTAAACAGGGCAAATATACACCCCCAGTCAATTTTATAAAGTTATTTCTCAAATCGTGAATAACACTAAAAGTGGTGAAGGTGTTTCTACACTGACTGAATTAGATAGAGATACTTGGGCTGATGCACGATCACATTTGATTGAACTCTCACCTCAAAACAAGAGGAATATTCATGACATTGACACTGCATTGTCATGTTTCTCATTATCTGATCAATCTCCACAGGTATGTATAAGTGCATTCAAATCTATAGGCCCCTGGTAAATTCTCGATTTGGGTAAATAATTGATGCATGTCATGTTCCATGCTACATTATTTTGACACATAGCAGAAACCAACTGTTCTGAATTTTTAAAAAATACTGATATAGCTTCATGTGAAAATCAATGAAACTTCATCTTCAATTTTGATGAAATCCAAGATAATAAGCTTTATTAATGTGACAAATAACAAGAGTATTATGTGGTATTGTGGCTTTCCTCTCCTTAGGATAAATATTTAAATTCTACTATATGTAACTTATTTTCAGACCGAAACAGATTTGCTTAGATGTGGCGCTACACTGTCTCACGGAAACAGATGGATGGATAAGTTTAATTACATCTGCACTAAGAATAGTAAATTTGTAATTCATACCGATCATACGCCATTAGATGGAATGGTTTTTGTAACGATGATGGCTTATACTGAAGCAATACTACAAGATATGAAGAAACAGAAATTGATGGAATTGTGGGATGCTGGTAGGTTTTATGATATTTCATGATTTGTATTCGACATAGTTATTTGCCTAATCAGACCCTTTTACTTCATTAAGTTTCACAAATGCTTTTATGGACAATTTTTAACCATGATTTCGCGACACCCTAGGATTTAACCAGTACAGTCCAGTGGTTTTGCAATTTTATAATTAAATCTGGATTTTTATATTAAGAAATATACATCAGATATAGTCGAGTATCTATCAGGTTTGCCACTATTATTTAACTTGCTACACTTAGAAGATTCTTTTGCTTTGTCAGTACCAGGTTTGCTTTTATATATATTTATAAATTATGATTAAGACAATAAAAGACAAACTATTTCACAGGGTTTCTATTCCGTTTGGTTGAGGTTCCGCTCTATCATAATAAAGGTGGAAAACCACTAATTTAGGATTATTTATTGCTTTCCAGATCAAACGCCAGTTGATTCTCCTGTTGAACTTTCATTTGTTTTGGATGAGAAAATTAAAAGCTGGATAGCAGAGGCTACAACAACAGCTGAGAACCTCAATTCAAATTTTGATTGTTACTTTCTCAACTTTCATCAATTCGGAAAAAAAGCATTGAAAAAACTGAAACATGTATGACGGTACTTGCATGTGTATTCCATTGTATCACTAGTTGCTATTTACAGTTGAATTATTGAATTTGGTTTACAACCATTTCTTGCCTTATTCTGAGAGAAAACCTTGCTAACTCAAATTAAGCTGATAATTATGTAATATTCTGCATTCACATTGGTAGATCTTCTACCACCAGGCCTTCATAGTTTTCAGAACTTATATCTTGAATTTGATTGTGTTATATATCGCAAATATGTCCGTCTGCATGTTAGCCTGTTACATAATAATTTAAATAGCCTACACTAAAGAGCAAACTAGCATGGGGTAAGGCTACTATCCTACAAAACGGATTATTAGGAGGAGTGGCTAAGCGATAGTAATACGCTTGCCATCACATCTCTCATTACCTTGCATGGGTTTGCATCATGAGGGTAGATAATTATTTGCGAAGAAATTTCTCATTGTAGGGTGGTTCACGGTAACCGCTGGTCGGTTATGACTATCTCCACCATGAAGTTCATGCATCTGAAACAAATAACTGGTTAAATTTTCGATACCAGTCTTGAACTGGTAACCAGATGGGCGTCGGACGGCCATATCATCCTGTGTCTTATAAGCTTTCCTCGGAAAATTGTTATCCTAAAAAGCTAAAAAAATGTTGATTACTTTTTCCAGATTCATCCATGTGCATTTGCACAGATTTGCATTCAACTTGCTTTTATGAGAAAACATGGCCGTCCTGCTCCGACTTATGAGACTTCAACAACTCGAATGTAAGGATACTAATTTATATTGAGTGCTGAGCAGGTGCTTGGACACTTTTCAATTCATCCAGGGTGAAGAAGATTGCTGGACATCTCACCACTGTTGGGTGATCGGTTACGGCTTCCTCCACCATGTCGATACATCTGAAACAAATAACTTCCCATCTAATCCCATACACGACACGGATTGGCAGCCGAACGAAAGGCTGTAATACACCTTAAGCCTCCTCATTGTCTTTCTTCTCTCTAGGGATAAATGAGAACATCATATCTCATCTCAAGTCCAATACTGATTCTAAATTCCATGACAAAAATATCAATAAACTACACTTTATTTTTCAGCTTTTATCGTGGAAGAACAGAGACCTTACGTACTTGTACCCATGAAGTTGTTGAATTTTGTGAAGCAATGATTTCTGGTTTGTACTTTTCACTCTTAAATAATAAAGACGTATCGATACTATCAGTCCCTTTACTGATATCGGTATAAGCTAAAAATAATATAATTTCTATACATGGAATGATCATGTGTGAAGCATTCACTGCCTCATCAATTTCTTCAGAGTTGGTGGGTGATGGCCCATAAAATGAATAAACATATACCGGTATGTATCTCACTATGTATATTAGCCGGCCTGACATAAGTTTTCTAATCAAACGTTTGCTATAAATTGCTTAATATAAATGCTGAGCATCTTTGCAAACATACAAAGTTAAAATGAAATTGACAATGTTTATTGTTTTCGGTCAGATCTTCCAAACAAGGAAGAATTGTTCATGAAAGCCTGTGATAAATATGTTTGGTTGATGGAGGAATGCAAAGCAGGAAGAGGATGTGATCGACATATGCTTGGTATTGCTGCAATAGCAAATGTAAGATGCTTTTTAAATGAATAACTTTGATTAGGTCTTTTTGAGATGAATTTAGTGTAATGCAGTGTTTTTTTTAACCTTTCCAACAGTATGAAACTCAACTAAACATTTCGTTGGCGAGAGAAGCCCCTGGGAAATGGTTTAAGTGTCTTTTATTCTCTTGAAATGCGGCAAGTTTACCAATATTGGTAGCCATAATTGGTGTTTGATGATATTCAGTCAATATATATATTAACATAGATTCTCGGATCTGAATGGAAACCCTGGGCTGTACTGCCTGAAAATCATATTAGTTCATTTGAATTTTGCAGGAAAATGGTGAAAAGCTACCTAAAATATTTTCGGATGCTTCATTTGAAAAATCTGGAGGAAATGGAAACTTCGTTCTTTCAACAAGTTTTACAGGATACACCAATGTGAGTACCAGCACACAATTTTTTCTACAACAGATCCAAAAAAACAGAACACATAAATTTATTAATAACCTTTTACAAAAACGGAGAAAATTTATTTGACAAGCGAACTCTGTGTATGATTGTACCCAAAAGGTTCAGTAATCTACGACAGAGTTTCCCAAACTTTTTGAGCCGCAGACCCCTGTTTGTGAATCTTATTTTTGACGCACAACCGTCCTATGCCCTAATGATTCCTGTTCCTAACCAATGAGGAAGGATAATGTTTCATTTAGAACACAAACGACAATATTGTGATTCATGAAATTGCCTTTCACTGCACAATTTATCTATTCTCGGAGCAATTTTATAAATGAATCCGCGGTCCCCAGTTTGGACCCTGATCTAGGACGTTTTGCACAAAAGTTGTGCTATTCTATAATCCAAGATCTGTTTTTTTTGTGTCACCCTGTATTTGACAAACCCTATAGTCCAACTCAAGCAAATATGCCAAAGTATTAAGTAATGATATTGGAACACAGTAACCATTCATTTCAATGGCTCACAAGTGGTAGAATGACATGGTTTGCTGTCCAACAATTTTCGAATGCCCCTTCCATGATAACCCTATTCAAATGTTGAATGTAATTTCAAACTTTTTGTGCAAAGTTTGATCTACATTTTGATTTTCAATGACTGCTCTACTCTCAAATGGTAGTAAGTATTAGGGATGGGCCGGGATTCGGATCCGGACTCGGATTCGAGTCGAATCCAGGCATTTTTCGGATTCGATTTCGAGTCCACGTCATTTTTACCGAGTCTATAATCAATTCTGTTTTTACTAATTTACGCCTATGTTTGTACTTACTTACTTATATCACTCGTGTGTATTATAAACGCTCCTAATAAAAACGACGACAGATTATTAATAGCTTATAACAATGATGCGCCAGTCGCCTTCAAACTATCTATCCTTTTTGGTATACATGTGGTACATAATAAAATATGTGTTAGCGCAATATTTTCGAGTTTTCGGTTCGCGTAAATAAATATGAAACATGCTCAGGATCAACCCAAGGGGGAATCTCGCCAATACCTCTTTTAAATCGAGTTTATTACGTGCAATCTTTTCTCTAAAAAATAAGCACTGGAAAGCATGGAGCGTTTTAGAACATTTACATAAACTACTAAATTGCAAGCATTGTATTGATGACGAGTGGCATCTCTGTACCCTTTGCGCACGCGACATAGTAAATTTAAGGCTAGAAATATCTGGAATTATGGGATAGCATTGTAGTCGAAAGCTTTTTATTTTTCATATTGACATGTAGGAATTTCTAAATAGCCACCCAGAATTGACACAAAGTGGTGGGCTGGAAATCCAGTTCACAGCCAAGGCGCACATTGACCCACGTGTACGTTTTTATTATGGCCGCCAAAAGAGAAGAAAAATATATTTTTAAATTGATTCAACAGCTATCTGCGGAACCATTATGCAAAAAATATGAGCTACGACGTATGTTTGTGAGCGCACGATGCTGTAGTATGGTCAAAAACGTGTTTTTCTACTTTTACATTGTGACGTCACGGACTCGGAGGATTCGATTCGAGTCCTTGACCTATTACTCGGATTCGTCGAATCTCTGTAAGGCCGGACTCGTCCCATCCTAGTAAGTATGCTTTTAAGCTTTCTATTACATTTTATGTAGGCTGCCGGAGGGGTTGTTCCAATGCGAGATGATGGATATGGAACATTCTATAAAATAAACAACAATTATATGACCTTTGTTGTCACGACGATGAGAACTGGACCAAAAACAGATGCAAAGGATATGGCACTGCAGATTGGAAAAGCTTTACAAGATGTCTTCGATTTGATGGTGAACAATTATTCACGTCTGTAATTTTCAAATTTAATTATTTCAAAAAAATTTTAGTAACAAAACTCTATGCTGTTTATACTATGATATAGGTGCTTTAATTCTCTTTCTGTTGTACTTTTTCACATTAGCCATGATCAGATTGTACCGATTTTCTTTGTTACATATATTAATCATACATTTTAATTGTTTTGAGTTGGTCAATGGCATTTTTGCTCTGAAATTGTCTTATTCATATATTCCGGGTTCATTATTCTGCTGATGTTTTTTCATTTATCCTTGTACCCCAATGATATTTATACACTTTCAATTATAAAGTATCTGGAAGTGATTTAGATGGGGTTAGATGTCAAATTTTCTTTGTTTTATTCTACTCAAGTGATGTCAGTTACAGAGTGTAATCAGTTATATTTGATGAATACTGTATAACATCAGTGCTCTCCAAGTTGGCAAGATATTTTGTAAAATTAAGCAAATTGCTACAGTATTAAATACTCAATATCATGTTTAATTATTCCCAATATAATATTGGCTGAATTTATAAGGTTTTAAAAATCAAATTTTCAATGAATATTCTTGTCTGTATTAATATCATATCTATCATATTTTTCAATTCTCTAATTATTTTTTAATATTCACTGTCCGATCTATGCATTGTAGCAAATGACCGTTTACTGGCCACTAATCTTGATGAATGGTGAAATTATTATCATTGGCTGCTGTAATCATTATATATGCAATAATTGATTATAATATATTTGAGTGATGCTGTATTGACTAAAGTGTAGAATGGAATCCTATGAACTATCAGAATTTAAATGACTTTCTGACGAGGGTGTAGATCAGGGGTCGGCAACCTACGGCCCGCGGGCCGCATCCGGCCCGCGGAGCAATATAATCCGGCCCGCGACGCTTCACTGAATTATAGTAACAAATTATAGCTGTTTTGTCGATTATATTCTTTACGCAAAAGAATTTACGTGTAGACTAAATTATATTATAATCTAACAAGTATATAATTCACAATTACTCGTTTAATGAGCCTATAATTTAAATATAATTTAGACAAATGGCAACAAAACGCAGAAAAGTTGATGTGCGAATGATTTAATGGCGCAAAAAATATTCAAATGGTCGCGCTGCTTAAAATTTAACTTCTGATCTGTGTGATAAAATGTGATTCATCGGTCATTCATTCGATTTTTAGCTTTCTAAAAATATGTGCGGCCCGCCAATGACTTGCAACCTTTAATTTTGGCCCGCGAACGACAAAAGGTTGCCGACCCCTGGTGTAGATGTAACTCTTTGACAGTTTCTGCCATACAATTCAATCAGACATAAATACAACTGGGGGGAATTTAAAATGGTAAAGGTGAAGTTGTTTTATTGGGGTGGTTTTGTTGCTGTGAAGTTATGACCTTAAGTGTTTTTTGTGTTGAATTAGTGAGTCTCGTCGAACATAACTCGTGGAAATCGGAGATATGCGAAGTAAATGTGAAATATGACGCTTAAGTACGCAACGAGTAGCGCCCGCGCATCATGGTTTCTGCCAATAGACTATTCAGTCTTAGAGACTAAAAATTAAGATACGCGTCTTTCCAAAACTGAGTGTTGATGCCCTGGGCTTCAGCCTGACCGAGTGCAATGGTCAGTGGCCTTGAAGTTGGTGCCGTCACAGGAAAGTATACCGCGAGATATTGTGCGAATCACGGCTTCTTTGTAAAATGCCTAGTGAATTATCGGGGTGCAATTAGGATAGGATAGGATTTACATATTTATCCCGGGGGAGAGGAAAGCCGATAAGACGGCTTATCCATATGGCGAACCATGGCCTCTCGTCCGGTTACCGTTCCAAGTCGGGTATGGGGTTAGTTATTAATCATGATCGAAGACGCGCAGCGGAGGGTGAGACACGATGGCGCATGAAATGTCGTAGTCTCCGCCATTATATTCTTCAAAAATATTTTTTAAATCAGTGGAATGCGTACTGGTACCAGTAGCGTGTGCTATGACCAACCTGCTATGATAATGTTCAGTAGTTTATTCGTCGGTTATGCCATGATATTTGTGTATATACTCAGTCCACCACTGATAAGATCTGAGGAGTGAGGATTTGTTTTGGCGTCTTGTCTTGACATATACTTGGGAACTTTACGCATTTTTCTATTTTGGAGGAAGGATCGGGAGTATATAGACTATTGGACTACAGAAAAAAAGCAATATGGCACCTCCTAAGTCGCGAAAAATTGCTATAATGGGATACCGATCAGTGGGTAAGGCTGTGAGTTGGTTTTCCGTTAGGCAGTTCTGCAATTACTGAATTAAGGTTTTTTTTATTATTATTCCAATTTTCGGTTTGGCAATTGCCCTTTACCCGTACCGGTACGCCTCTCTCTACTTTTTCAATATACAAATAAGTGAATTTAGTGTAAATTTCACAACACTGAACTTTAAAATTAATACAGGGAAAGTTTTTCAAAATAATCATTTCTTCATTCTTATCATAAATTTTTGTCAAAATAACCTGAGTTCCAAAGTTTTCTGCAAACATCTGAATATTCTGTACAATAAACTCATTGTAGTTTCTTCAATTTTCGTTACAGGGAAGTCGTCCATAACCATTCAGTTTGTTGAAAATCAATTTGTTGATTCTTATGATCCAACAATAGAAAATAGTAAGTTATAAACTAAAGTTTATCATTTTTATTTATTGTCTAGGTAGCCTAGATTTCTTTGTTTCAACCACCAATAATACGCAGATAGGCTACATTACATTAAATATAGATGAGCACCATGCAATTATGCTATTCAATTTTGTATACCGGTACTGGTACCAAACTTCTGGATTTTCATATTCAAATAATTTCATAATTAAGTAGCCTATTTGACTTTGTGATCAACTATAATTTATGAATTTGAATTATCAAAATAGGAGCAAAATCATGATATTATGAAATATTTACAACAACACTACAACACTACAAACAACACTAATTCTTGTATGCTGCAGTTAATGTTTCCATTTCTAGATAGAATTGAACCTGTTTTTTTATTTTCAGAATAAAGCCTTTTCTATCTAGTTTGTGTATGAAATTTAAAAATATTTTGTTAATTTATGTATTTGCAGCATTTACCAGATCACTGAAAGTAAATGGGCAAGAATATCAGTTGCAAATTGTTGATACTGCTGGACATGTATGTTTGTTAATTTACATCATATTGTATTATTCCATTTCAGAGATTCTAAATTTTTTTATTTACAAGATTGCTTAATATTGTAACACATTTATGAATTAAAGATCTGCGATCATCTTATATTCAGTAAGGTTGTAGCTCAACTGCGATGATCACTAAATGTTTTGGTAGAAGATATTCTGCCCAACAACTTTCAAATCCCTATGGCGACATGCTGGCTTGGCGGTTAATGATTTAGACTTAATTTGTTGGCATTGCAGATTACACATTTCTGGTGTAAGCGCCACGCCACCCACCTAACCCTGGTTTAATAACATGGTTAGTCGATGCCGAACCAGGAAGATTCTAGTAATATAGGGCGTTGTTGAGAGCAGAAGGCTAGTAAGCGTCATATAAAAAAATGCATGGGGATATACTGCAATAAACTCAGTTTCATTTAAATTCATTCATTATCCGAGCATCATGAAATTTTATTGTTTTTTTCTTCCTGCAATGCTTCTTTTGTTTATATAAATTTTTGCATTTTTTCAGGATGAATACTCATTGTTTCCTGAAGCTTATACTCTTGATATCCATGGATATGTTTTAGTTTATTCTGTTAATTCAAATAAAAGGTAATGAATTCAGAAAATTTTGTTATATTTAGAGGGTAGTTATATATTAAAATATATTTCTTGTACAATGTTAATACTAGTACATTAATTTTCTATTTATTGTCAAATTCTGGACTGCAAGAACATATAGCTACAGTCTATTGCGCGAAGAAACTATACGAATACCAAATATTGTTGTGACTTAGCCGTCTAAATTGAGTAAAGTTTTCCATCTAAACTAAAATATCAAAATTCTATTATCATTATCTTATATATATACCTGTGTAATACACCTGTTGCAATCATAAGCCTTACCTTTTGAATGTAATTTAAGGCACTACGTAACCTTTAAAAATATTTGACATGTTCTCCACATGAAGCTTCGAAGTTGTCAAAGTGATTCATGAGAAACTACTCGATATGGTCGGCACTGTTCAGTGAGTGTTTTGTTATTATTTTTTATATGTTAACATGGCACAATAGAAAAAGCATATTTCAAAATGTCTATTTTTCTCTAGATTTTACAAGGAGATTGTTTCCTTCTGTTATTATAGTATGTGGATGACCATCAACATCAATTCTTGTATTGTGTACAATTTGTACATTTATTTCATTTAAATAGTAATGAACCCAATATCTATGCAATTTGGGAGTGACTCAAAACTGAAAATTTCCTCATTTTATTGTACTCAGAGTTCCAATTTTACTTGTCGGAAACAAAACAGATTTGCACAATGATAGAGTTATATCAACGGATGCCGGGAAGAAATTGTCTCAGTCATGGGGCGCTCATTTCCTCGAATGCTCAGCTAAGCACAATATGGTATGTGTAACAATTGTTTAGATCAGGGGTGTGCAAACTGCGGCCCATGGGTCAAATGCGGCCCACGAGGAAAAATTGTGCGGCTCACACTGGGAAGTATTTTGGATGGTGTGCCTGCGAAACGAGTTTTCTAGTTTCGTTATTCTGGCACATGCGAGCAATTCCAATCCCTTCGCGTCGCAAACCCTATACCTTGATTTACTAAATAGGCTGTTTCATTTTTCAATTATTTGCATTTTTTTTATTTTATCCGCGAAAAATTTATAGATTGATATTATTTGTAGTACAGATAAAATCATTTATCAATATTTTGAATGGATCGCACAAAAGAAGCACTAATAATTCATTTCAGTTTACAAAGTAATGATATTTCAAAATATTTTGTTATACATGGTTTAAGACATTTAAAATTACTGATGTACAGTGAAAGTTGTAGATAAATCAAAAATGCGTGCGCCTATGCATTAAATATTGAATAGATAAAGAAGTTTTATTCATAGCGATGGAATAATGAAGTGTTTTAAAATAGGCAGAGGAAGGAATATGACGACAAAGATTGGGAATGACTGACCTATACTGTAGTTCAGGGGTTCTCAAACTTTTGGCGTTGCGGAGCCCTTGAAAAGGTTGACTAATGTTCACGGAGCCCCATAATAAATGTTAAAATTTGTTACTTTCACGATTAATATTCCCTGAGTAAGTTAAACGTACTTTTACTTAATTTAAATACTAAACACTTTATTAGGGTCAATAGAAGTCATAAAATAAATCTCGTGGGGAATTATGAGTTCAATGTGAAAAAACATGTACCATATTATAATCATCGGCGACGAAATGCTAAAAAATAATAGTTAATGAAGAGGTAAATCCGAAATTCAAATTTCTTGTTTAAAAAGCGGCATCTAAAATATTAGAACTAAACTTAAAATGGGAGAAATAACACTATAAGTTTTGTTCAGCAGACTCACGTCAGAATAAAACGCTGTTATAGACATCGTAAATCATAAATTTGGTGTTATGTTAGGTTTTCGGTTATCATTCGTAGTAACTGCGAAATTGAAACACAGTCAATTAATTATGCGCGCGGTCAGTACCATTTTTCCTTTCTGAAACTATGACAGAGCCGCATGCACTAAAAATAAATTTCATGTTCGTATTTTGCCAAGACCTTGTGGATTTTTCAAACGGCGACATCTTGCTTAAAAATAATCTCGAGTGCGAAAGAACAAATCAGTTTAAACAAATCCCAAGATCACAAAAAATACGACTCCAATTTATTTATAGTTAGGCAGTTTATCACGCAGTTTATATTATTTTAGAATAGTATTTTATCATTTTAGTAATCCTAATAGTAATTTCGAATCGAACGTGAGTAACGATGAGCACAATTAAATTATTACGACAAGACACTTTAGAATTTAGATGCTCGCATCGGTCATGAATTGAATATTTTACGCAACAGAAATCTCGTTATCTGTTTTTTTTTTAATTGCCAAGAATGTTGCGCGTAAATTTCCGATTTCAATTTTGAACCTCCTCCCTCTTAAAAATCCTGGCTGCGCTCCTGCTTATAAAAATAATGTCATTTTTTAATTCCACCCCTTTGCCATATTTCTAGGCTATATTGTTGTCAAATTTCATCAAAGCTATTATTGCTTCTAGGAACAGTTTTAAATTAGCCAAGCCAGTATTTTGAAAAGTAATCGAATAGCTCGCGGAGCCCCTGGGTTACTCTCGCGGAGCCCTGGGGCTCCGTACGGAGCACTTTGAGAACCTATGCTGTAGTTTATTAGGTTTCTTGAATATTTTGCAAATCTCAAATTTCTTGCAATGTGTGTCATTTTCAACAGGATGTGCAACAGATATTTAAAGAAATAATATTGGAAATGGAAAGACAAGAAGGGAATATACCTGAAGAGAAGAAAAATTGTTCAATATCATGAACCAAACACGATAGGAATAAATTGGGTCGTTATCTGACAGAGGGTGAATATCGCTCCGCTTGGAATCATATTTTTGTGGAGGGAGCTAATTCAATTTCATGCATGATTAAACATATGTAAAAATAATATTCTGGAGTGATGGTTGTTGAACCATAACTATTTATTCCATCTATTTTAAATATGATTGTATTGTTTTTATTTTAAATACAATTTTTTTTCTATTGATATAAAGTACCTTGAATGCTTAAACAGGTTTTCTAGACCTAACCTTATTTACATGTGACCAATGGGATATTGTCTGTATCATGGTACGAGAAAACTTTCGATAATCTTGTCTAATTGTATGTTTGTAAGTATTCCTAAGTAGAGTATATTGTGTAATATAAGAACAATGTGTAGAAACTAGATATGTTTCATTTTGACCGGCGGTGGCGTTATGTTTATTATTAAATGTAATACTTATATTCATATTCATTGTTCTTGTAGACTTTTTGGCCATGTTTGAAATTTTCATTGCAATTTTCTTTGATCGTTTTTTTCAAATTTTTGTTATCACATGCACCTAATCCGATTTTGTACTGTACCTAACTATAAAGATGTTTCATAGTAAGTATGGTTGGCATTCCAGTTCTTGAAATTTGAAACTTGATGTCAGTTTTATTATTCTGTTTCCATTTCTTAATTGTGCTATTCACTGCATGTGCTAGTTTTTCAGTGGTAACGCCTGCTTTTATTGTCCACTCGATTTCAAATATATTGGCATAAAGTTTTAATTTTATCTCCAATGTTCATTAGGGAGTGGTTAGTTTCAATAGCTGCGGTAATCAAACTGATGTTTATTATTGAACTTAAATCAGCTATACGAAGATAGCAAGCTATATTAGTCAATTTTCATTAAATCGTAATGATTCTGCATCATAATTCCAACTATAAAACATGAATACGAGGACGGGAAACATAAAAAAATCTTGTGACGTTGGCGAACTTATGTTATTAAGTAAACATGTATTTCGACGGGATCGGATTGCCACTTCCAAATGTCGTTAAAATTGGTTGGATTAACTTGTTGCTCAACTGGGCAAGTGCAGTTTCAAGTATTTTGTGGCGTCTGCAGCTGCCGCAAAACCATGGCGGTATTTCCATACCATTGCCGCTATATTCAAGCCTATGGCGACTGACTTTTTAGCTGTCACAAACCAATGACGAGCTGACATTACCGCGGCAGCAAATTGAAAACCAATGGCAAGTTAAATTTTGCTGCCGTAACTACGGCAGGTGGGCCATAAAGACAGGGCTGTCCCTTATGGTGACAAATATTGGGCAAGTTGGAACTTTTTTCTTATAGATACAGTTTTGATGAAGTTAGGGTTTAATTAGATATAATTCCGCATGTTGAATTGAAATATGGTACATTAATTTGTGAATATACCGTTAATACTGAATAGCGCTATAAAAAAACCATGGCAAGAGCTGCCGCGGTTCGTTCGTGGCAGGAGCTGCCATGAAGTGGTAAGAACTGCGCCTCCAACTGGGAGTGTTGTGAACTCTGGAATATCTTCAGCATTTATTGTCGGATTCTTGGCAAAAATTTGGAGTAATTTTTGATTTGTGAAACAAAAAGAATTTTTATCTTATTTAGCAAAAGTTTAGTAATTCAGTATTTACAGGGCGGGTCGAAAAAACTTAAATTGCATACTATAACTTAACGCTAGTTAAGTTCTGGCAACTTTCCTGTCATCTTTTTCATTTGATTTAAAATAGTGAAACATGCTCAAATGTAGTGGTAGCTATTTTTTATTTGGTATAACGCATTTTTTGGGGACTTATATATGTTTGATTATTGCTACCAAATTAAGAGTCTGATAAAAGACGATGAAATGAACATGAAAATCGATGCTAGGGAAACACCTTATGTTTTATTATGCACCACATAGCATCGTTAAATATGATTTCTCGTCGCGGGTAGCCCAAGTGACTTTCTATGGTAGCTTTAAGCTGAGTTACCGGAATAGCATTTTTCCGTGGAAGTTCAGACTGATTTTAATTCAAGATAGATATATCAGAAATTGGGATCAGAAATTTCCATGCAACGACTCCTGAAACGATCTCCCCGTTCGTTGAAAATGTCGGCTTTTTCACGGTATAATAAATTTTTCTGTCTCGTAATATTCAATTTATGACAACTACAAGAATTCAAAATATCCATTTCAATTCATTTGTGTCCAAGGTAACTCGCGGTTGTGGCGACTCACGACAAAATAAGCTCTTTGCCGATCTAAAATACTACGCAGGACATAATAATGTGATGATAATAATAATAATAATCAATCAACCAGTAATAATCAACTGCCCGATTATATTTAGTTTTGATAAGAAAATACATGTAAAGTTTATTAGTAAATCAAAAATACATATTCATCACTCCGGAATCCCCGCGGAACAGCTCCTGAGTCAGTCGTTGAGATTACTCCACTCGGTAAGAGCCGACTTTTTAACGGATATAATGGTTTTTGTAATGGTTGTATACAATATTCAATCCATGATCGATATTCATATTTGAAATAGTTACTCTATTTATTTAATTGTGATGAACTAAATATGCGATTGCGTCGATAAAATGAAAGCACCACTTCTCCAAAATACCACGGCAATTCGCAGACATAAAAATGTGTTGTAAACTGCCCTATTACATTTTGTTTTGATTCATATTCTTGCAATTTGAATTAATATGAGCCGCTCGATTAATCCTAGGATATCACTGTTAGAGAAATTCTCAAATTGGCGATAAAATTCCAAGGAGTAAAATTTATCACAAGTCCATAGTTTTAGAACACTACAGGTGTTTCACAGGCACAAGGAATTTATAAGGTTTGCAATGTCTAAGAAAGTGTTTTTAATCTGTCGCGGTCCATCCCATAACAAAAGTCATGGCGTTTTCCGTTTTATTTTCAGTATTTTATAATGCCGCTTTTTCAATCAAGAAATTTTTGGTTGCGTGTTCACTTCTTTATTCTATCTTCAGCATCTCGTCGCTGATGAATATATAATAAAAACTCATTTTCCTCGCAGGTGTCATGGTTTCGCGCGAGAACAATAAAAGGAATATTATCATCGTCTTCGCGACACAAGACATATGTCAAGTAGAATTCCTGATTTAAGGAGAATAAACACAAAAACAAAGATTTTACGTGTCTTATGTAAACGTTCAAGCAGAAAATACTTTAAAACACAAAAAGCAGACGTTTGTTGCGTGTTTAGTTTAACTTAAAACTTAGTTTGACTTTACCAGGTATTGCAAACTGAGCGGAAAACGGAGAATGTATGATAACGATTATCTTAAGTATGGTTTCATACATACGACAGTGAATGGCGAAGTTGCACTCCGATGCGTTTTATGCATAAACAGTCTGAGCAATAACGCTATGAGACTCTTACAGCGCCATCTTAATATGAAGCAACCGGCCCATCACAAAAGCAGTTTTTCAAAGAAAAAAGGGGCGTGCGGCTCAAAAAGTTTAAAAACCACTGCCCTAGATAGAACATGGGTGGGCAACCTGCTTTCGACCGTGATCGACTAAAATAGTCAAAATAGCTCGAGATCGACTGATCGGTTCTTCTAGTCCGATCCGACGCTCGCTTGGAATTAGAAAAAATTGGAAATTTTGATGCCTCTGATATCGTTGCGAATAAAATTTATCACACTACTCTTGAAGCGAGACAATAACTTTCGCATACTGCAGAAGTCATTGTATGACCGCTTGTCAGTCAAGACACACCTGAAATGATTTTTGTTAATTTGTTATATGTTCTCCAAATTGAAATTTTTTTAAATTTTGATATTTTTTGCATTACATCAATAGAGTCTTGCTCTAGAAAAATAATCGAAAAAGTATGTTTCAAACTTGCCGTAAACAACGACCAAAATCGCATATTTCACCCCAAACATGGTTTTTGCTTATACGTTCCCCAAAATAGACTTGTTTCAAATCCTGATATTTTTCCGATTACAGTGTCTGCATACAATCTTCCACTACTAAGCTATCGATTGGGAATAAAACAGGATGTGGTTTGTTAGAAAATGCAAGAGAAAAATATTCACATATGTTCCCCAAATTTGGCTGTGGCATTGTTGAATCAAATGATACTGGAGGTTCAATGCTGTCCGATGGTTCCTTTTTGGCGACTAACATTACAAGACTAAGTTTATTTTCTAATTTTTTGTTATCGTGGCTCAAAGCATCAACAACATCATACCATCTATCAATTGGCTTCTAGGCATTTTTTTGTATTGGTCTGAGCTTAATAATTTTATTATGTATATTTATATAAATGTTTGAATTTCATCAACAGTTAATGCTGGCACACCATTCTTGCAAAGTTCAATTTCTGGCTTCTCTTTACTTAGCCATTTTCCTTCATACACACTTTCAAATGACTTAAAGGAAGCTTCTTTTTTCCATGGTCTAAATCTGCGTGCTTTAGGCCTTTCCTTTGTAACTCCTGGATGTCTATAGATTGTCAAAGGATCGCTTGTCTTTTGGGCACCCTCTTCGTCACCATTAGAGTCTGTGTTATTTTTTTGTTTCACCTTCATACTTATTAGGTCAACTGCTTTTGTTCATGCAGAAATGATACCAATATTCTGATTAAATTTGGTATCATAGTGACAATAGCAAAATACAACCACAGTGGCAACGGTCCAGTAACACCAAATGGCTGTAGAGATATTCCTCTCGTTAGGGCGTCCCTCAATTGATAACTTGTCTACGCAGCTGCAATGATCTAAGGAGACACGGTCAGAACGCCTTCAGGAGGTTGCAGTTGCTCTAAACTTTTGTATTCTAGGATCAGACCACAGATGTATTTGCTACAGACCCACGCTACAAATGAAGCAACAGGTACTGCGGTCAATGTATAAAAGTGTGAGCGATGATGAATATTGATCAGATCCTGGAAAAAATGGTTTTAGAAGATAGGCAAGAATTTATAAACTTGTCAGATTACAAACTACAAAAGCTAACCTTTGAGTAAAATTACCTTACTTCAATAATGTGATCAATGTCAAATGCACTCAAAAATAATCCTGCGAGAGAGATTTTTATCACAATAAGTTATGAATTCCTCTAATTAATATCCAACACCAACAACCTGAAAGTAATTTTGAAAAATTAAGTACAGAACTGATACAATATTTCAGCATTTGAAAGTTGTCTAGAAAATACCAAAGGAAAAGTTGCAACTGTACTATCTGCCTATTATTACATGCCTATAGCTTGCATGATTTACACGGACTTGACAGGGATGCATGTCATTCCGTCTTTAGTTGTCACACGCGGATTGCTTGCAATGAACAATATTAATGCAGAAATCTGGAAACAAAAGCAAGTGTTCATAATGCAGTAATGTCAGAATGTACACATATTGCAGTTTTATCCATTTTATTATTCTTCATTTTTGTAAAGTAATTCAAGCTCGTGATACTGATACTGTAATATCCTTTACTTCGTGTGAGCGGGGAATTTACCCCCACTTGCAACTAATTTATCGAAGTGTTGGCAAAAACCATAATCGCAAATTACTTTATTATGCAGATAAGCTTAAACCGGTAAGTAACAATATGATAAAAATTGGTTTCCTACTTACACAAAAATGTACGAAAGAGTCTTCTAAAATACGTTGTAGTGTTGTTAAATGATGGCTAAAATATTTGTTGAAGTTTTGTTCCAAGATGCAAAAGGCGGCGAAAACCAAAGTTCGGAGAATGGTAAAAATGTATTTAGACAATCTGAGCTTTTTGATTTCGCGAGGTGGCATTCCAGAGATCGAAATTCCGAGAAACACGTTGCTGGGAGGTTCTTAATGTTATTCGCCATTTTTATGCAAATGAGTGTTTTTAAAGATACCAGACAATATATTATTCTAAACAATTTTTTCGTGATATTGTTATGATTTTTTAATGAGAATCGAATCAAATTATTATTTTTTTAAACGCATTATGCGCGGTAAAATGGTGAACGGCAAAGTATTATACTTTTCATGTGCCCCCATATTCTGCTGCTATCTTTGGTTTAGGCACTTTCTGAAAGAAAATGTTTACGGGAAAGTTGCAGGAAATGAGGAGATGAACTCTATTGTTAAGGCATGAAGATAAGGACAGAACTGCTGCCAGTAGCTTCATACCGAAACTGGATCTTATTTCAATTTTCCTCCGAAAAATAACACTGGGGCTTATTTTTGGGGATGTCTTATATTTTCACTTATCAAAAACAAAATTACAAAGTAAAGAAATAAGAGATATTCAAATATACAAAATATAAAAACCTATATCCATTTACTTATAAATAACACGTTTTAATTCAAAATAACTGTATAACCTCTTGTAGGGCGCGTCCCACCGTTTGAGATCCACTGATCTAATAAATGTAAATAATTAGAATTGGTGGGAATTGCCATATTTATTCCAGGGCAAGGCCGATATAAAGTGATCTTTTCTCGTCAAACATCTCTGTATCTATAATATTGTTTCTGCGTAAACATTGGATCAAGCAGTTTTCAATTAAGTGAAAAGCCTAATAAATATTTTACCTTCGTGCACGAGTATTGAAAATCAAAAATTAATCCACGTTCTAGTTTTTAAATGGCGAAATTCAAGCAAAAACAGTGTGTGTTAAGCGAAATGTTTCTAAAACTAGGCTCTGGACTGCATCTGCCACATGTAAGTAAGTCACTGGTCTTGGGGCAAGGGAGGACCATGACCTTCAGCTTCACCATGCTACTCTATGATGATATTCATCACCGGCGATGGCGATTCAATACATGAAGAAGAGTTTCATTTGCGTATTCACTCTTGCTACAAGTCTTGTCGAGAGTGAAGATGTATACACTGAATTAGAGGTAAGATCAGGCCCAAAAATTCCAGCCCGGCCCGAGGATATTACACCCGACCCAAGCCCGACTAATAAACTGGATTTGTAGGCCCGATCAGGACCTTAGATCATAGCTCTATCTGAATACACTTCGTAACGAATTATATTCCACACGCTTTAACAATCCGTGAGGTGAGATCAATTTTCTGACAAATGCTGTATTGGATAAAGTATAAAACAAACGAAAATTTGCCCCACTTTACATATCTACAAAGGAACGGCTGGCAATTGTATTTGTATCAATTGAATATGTGGATCATTAGTCAACGAGTAGAATTATCGTAAAATTTTCCTTCATTATGATCGCTTTCCTGAAACTAAAACTAAAGATACTTCAAATTTGGAACATTCGAACCACTAGAGATGAATTTACGCGATGGATAAACAACCGATTTATACTAATTTGAACATTATTTACCGTTATACGCTTAAACTTGTTTTCTATTTCATCTTAAAGTTAGTATATATTTAATATTGTAGCTTTGACCCCCACACAAACGCTATTGAATGTCAGTCCTTTTTACCCTGCTACAGCATCCTTGCGTTACACGCATTTATTGCTCATATATGGCAAGGAAAGGTTGTTAGTTTCACGTAACACCAACTGATAATGCTTGTCTGAAGAAGTCTGATCTCGGACGCGTTACAGAAGTACATATTGAGCAATAGATTTTATTAAATTATGATAATTCTGTATCATAACTTCAAATATTTAAAAAATCATGGATATGAGAATGGAGAACAAAAAATCTTGTGAACTCAACAATTTTAGAATATTATTAAGTTAACATATATCCCGAGGGGGTCAGGTCACCACATCCGAATTTCGTCAACGTGGTTGGATCAACTCCTTGTTCAACTGCGAGTGTTGTGAACTTTGTAATATCTTCAAGATTTATTGTCGGATTCCTGGTAAAAATTTTGAAAAGCTTCCGACCTATAAAACAAAAAATAATATTTATTATCGATTGCAACAACCGTTCGTTTAGTAATTCAATATTAACAAGAGATGGGGAATCAATATATACAGGTTGGCGCCGAAAACATTTGGGAGGTATTTCGGATCCGTAACAGGGCGATTTCTAATTTCATGCAAAACCGAAAGAAATGTGATGCCAGATTTAAGATTATTCAATATTCTATGGTAATTAGAACAGCATGCAATAGATTACGCATCGTATATATATATTCATTTCTGAAGCGACACACGCGGATACGGATCCAAATTGTACACTATACCTTAACACAATTGAGGTTCAAGTTTTTTGCACATTTCCTGAATTTCCACCGTCATTTCAGTTTGATTCAAAATATTCACCCTCCCTTTTTCTCTGCCACGTTCTTTAGGCGCGTTGTATTACGTGCAATCATTTCTTGTTTAGTTCTCTTAGTAGACTGTTGTTGTCTACGTTCAATATTGTTTGTCACAAATGACTTGTGTGTTGTATTCGGGGTGAAGCATTGCAGTTGAAATATACCGTAATAATCTTCGTCCTTACTGACATAGGACAAACACCCCTTACAGTACGCAACACATTGTTCAAGATGATTTCTCATCGCGCGTCGGATAGTAGCTTATCATGGTCTTTTATGCTTAGTTGTTTGAATAACATTTTTCGTTGTAGGTCAGACAGATTTTGATCCAAGCTAGATATATTATATTAAGATCAGAGGGTTCGATTGGATAGCCAGTCTGGACATAGGCCTATGCCTGCGTAACAGAGCCCGCTCTGTTCATTCCACCAGTCACGTAAAACTACTTACCATCCTCCATTATCATCAGGTTGCTGATGAAAGTAAAGTAGTCGGTCGCATAAAAGTTTGGATGAGAGTAGTACCAGGGTAATTCTGTAAATACCAAGTAAACAAACATCAGTTAACGTTTTCTGTTTACGTGTGGTGATCTGGCGATGGGAGTAACTGCACTCACCTCAAGAAGGATGATCCATGTTTGTAAAAATTGATTTTTTCTCCTCAAACAGCTTTCCATCTAATTTTTCCCATATTCTTTCTGCGTAAACATTGGATCAAACAATTTGTTACTATTAGGATTAACATCAAGTAGGCTAATTGACTAGCTTCATAGCTCACCTGTAGTCGCTTCCATCCAGAACTGACCCTGAGACCCTGTCGCGCGTGATGTCGACTATGACGGAAAGCGGTGTCTCCGATTTATCACTGTCAGATAAGTATACGTTTATTTTGATTTCCCCGAAAAAAAACCCGCAAAACGACACAATGAACACACAGTAGATTGGGAAAATCAGGAAAACTGGCAAAACCTCTGATAAGGTTTAAAACAAGTAGAAACACTTGTGCCAGTTTAACCATATTACACTCGCAAACAAATATTTGAAAAAAAAAATTAAAAACACGAACGAGTGTCGTTCGGGTGTCTAACTTTGGTAACATAAACACACCGCAGACACGTTGGATTTCAATTTAAAATTGTTTACTTGAAGTGGGCATGTTTGGGCTGTGTTTTGGGATTAGTTTACACCATCCGCATTCAAAGCAAACCAATAATTTGAGTGAGGAGATGAGAACTGAAACAGTTATTTCTCAGATTTTCGACGTTTTCATTATTTTCTGAGACATAAAACTTACTTGAGAAAATTGTACGTGCCAACATTCATTCTATTATCTGTTACGTTGAGAGGAGCAATAATGTGGCATTTCCACAACACATTCCATGTCCAGTAATCTACACCAAACGTCAGGAACCAAACCCCTTGTAACTGAAAGTACATATCATATATACATATAATTCATATTTATTCGTATTTCAAAGCCTAGTCTATCAATTCTGTCCACGACCCACTCTTGTTTCAAAATTTTCAGGAAGCTCTCTGAAATATATTCTAAAATAATTGGATATCGTCCGACTGATATTCTTTTTAAACCTAACGAATATTTTTTTTATAAATAAATAAATATAATATTAATATAAACTTTGAATACCATTGATTTCTCTATCTAATATTGCGATATAGTCATACTTTTGTTCTGAATGGAAAATTTTGTGCTGTATCATGGACATACATAATTGAATAAAATGTTAAAGCTCACGCACACATTCGAAGATTTATGTTGAGTTCGAAGTAATATAAATGACGCCAGTAAATTTATTGCATGCACTGTCTAATTCCTTTAATCCATGCTTCTTCCAGATTCGGCACAACCAATGTCGAAACCAAAATGAGTTTGAGAAATATTTTTCATTCAAATCAAAATACTTACTCGTTCCAAATCAATTTCATTTCCTGAATATATTTCTCGACTCCATGCAAAAGATAAAAACACAATAATCACAAACGCTGAATATCTTGACTCCATTATCCCGACCTTGTGAGTATCTCGATCAAAATGAATGATTGAAAAAGAATTCGTGTGCATGAAAGATCTTGTAGAAACAAAACCATAGACATTGCATATTACCTCGTGATACAATTTTGTGTCGACTTTGGTATTTCAGATTTCAACATAACGGACTTAATGGTTTAAAGTGAATTGAGTCTGTTGCAGTATGCTCTGTCATTTAGAATTTTGAAACACTGTTGAAAAGTTTATAAAATAAATTTTGACTTGCGTGGTCACGTACAACGTGTTCTTCATTGCCTATCCATGCATACCTCTTAACAATCGTCATACAGTATGTCGCACCTGATCACTAGTTAATAAGCTATATTGTACAATAGTATAAAGTAAACAAAAGTATACGCCTATCCTAGGTGACTAAGGTCAGAAACTTTACAAAAATATATTTGTGTTAGTGTGCAGCAAGATTCTTGACTTATTTATATTTGATACGTCGCGGAATATTGGTAAATGCTGGAAACGGCGACAATGGAAAACGAAAAGTAGGCTATAAAAAACCTTAACCCTCTCTGATACTAAGCGCTTTTCAAGAGCAATAAGACTGTTGTCGTCGTCATCAAGATGAATCTATCATTATTGCAAACTGTGTGATATTCATTACTGAATTTCGAATAAGCTATACGAATATCTGGTAATTTCATTAGTACGCCAATTTTGCACGACAACTCCGCATAGCTCCCCCAGACTACAACGATTTGAATGTGTATTATGTATATATTTGGTGACCGTACATTTGAACCCATATCCACGGGTTCAATCTATATGCGGGTGCTAAAACCCATGGGTTAGGGTTAGTATGGGTTCAACTATCCGTAAAACAAAAAAAAATTCATATGTACAATAGCATACAGGTGCAATTGTCATGGGTTCAAATGTACGTGGGTTCAAATGTAATGGAACCATATATTTCTGTACCATTGCTTGTTTTCTGGTTGACGAAACAATAAATCTATATATATATATATATATACCAAATAAATACATGAATGTGAGAACAGAAAACAAAATGTCTTGTGACGTCGACGATTGTAGAACATTATTAGGCTGACATGAATTCCGACGGGTTAAGATCGCCACATCCGAATGTCGTTAAAGTGGTTGGATCAACTCCTTGTTCAACTGCGAGTGTTGTGAACTCTGAAATATCTCCATCGTTTATTGTAGGATTCCTGGTATAAATTTGGAAAAGCTTCCGATCTATAAAAAAAAGATTATCGACTGCAACTACCGTAGTTTTGTAATTTAATATTAATAATATTAATACAAAAAATGGGGGAATTTATTCTGTCTATTTGGGACCTGTCACAGCGCGATTTCTCAATAGATGTAAGCCCGGAAATTTAAGATTATTTAATATTATATTGCTAAGCATGGGGCAGCATGCAATAGTTTACTACGATTCGTTAGGGCTCCATATCCTCCATCCTAAAAAATCTATTTCATTCATTGCTTTTGTGGTTTTTTGCGCTTGGTAACTGCTGGTTTACATGTCATTATCCACCCATCATTTGGTAAGATAATTTATTTATTTTGAATTCCTCCATGGTACAAAAACCTATACTGTACTTGAAAATCTGTATGCGTGTGCTCAAATTTCAATTGTTACATCAACGCTACGCTTTTGCTGATTGATGGAAGTCCCGTGCTCGGCGAAACACCTTATGTTTTATACACACACATTGTTATTCAATACTGAACATCAAGCATAGCCGGCATTTTTTCATACGTCCGCTTAAGCTTTGTTGATTGATCACCATTCTATCGTCATAATTAGATTCATTTTGATTCAAGTTACATATCGTCACGCTAATAACCGAATTGCGTAAGTCATTTTTGGCGATTTTGAGTTTTTTATAAAATGGGTATTTATGTAATGCTGCGCACCTGTCTGTTAACTCAGATTTTATTTTAAGAATTCCAAAACCCATAAAGATGGAGATTTAGTATGACATGCACATTTGTGCAATTGTTTCGTCATAATGAATTATCATTGTTACCGCGGGACTATTGTGACGTCACAAAAGCAAAATAACCTCGGCGGAGTATTTTCGAGTTTTTGCATCTCGAATTCTAGCTTAGCGCGTATTTATTTGAATTTATACTACAGTATAGGAAGGCGTGCACTTGTGATATTCACTGTCCGAGTCCAATTCACCTTGGTTGGCTTTTATATTGAGTGCATTGCTGTTTTATTCTTTATATTTAATCTTAACCTTATTTCGATGGGTGTGCGGAACGTGTTATATTGATGGAATATATTTTTTTTAAACATAAAAAACAATGTAATTGAAACTGATTAGCTTTTTTGGGGATTAGACATTGTAGATACTGAGAATTACATTCGTTTTTGGAATGTTTAGTTTTCAGGACTGGTGCATATAGTAAAGTTGCAAAATTGCGTATGTCCCAAAGTCATAGACACATTTCTGCCTAAGTCACAGTGCGCCATTATGACGTCACTTAACTGCGTCATACAAATTAACTTAAATCCGGCTCCGATCATAAAATTGAACCATGGCAAAGTATTGACTCTCAATGGCATAACAATATCATCAGGAAGTTTTTTACGTTTTTCTCAAAACTGCTAAAAATGACTTACGCAATTCGGTTATTAGCGTGACGATATATATTAGTCTACTATAATCAACGGTTTTAATCTTAGACTCAAGTTAATGGCCCATCCTAGTAGAATTTTGTCTGAACACACACCTATGCCTGACATAAACTATATGAGAAGACAACCCGTTCTGTGCATTGTCGGTGTAGGCAACAAATTACTTACCATCGTCCATTATCATCAGTGTACTGATGAAAGTAAAGTAGTCGGTCGCATAAAAGTGCGGAGAAGTGAAGAACCAGGGTTCCTCTGTGAATAACAAGTAAGAAAGCGTTGACTTTTTCCTTTTTAAATGTATTGATCGTTCAATGTGACGAGACTAGCCTACTTAGTACTTACCTTGAGAAGGATGTTCCATGTTCGATATAGGTTTTCTCTTATTTCCAAACAGCTTTGTGTCTAAGTTTTCCCATATTTTTTCTGCATAAACATCGGATAAAACATTTCGGAACTAATAGAATTGAAATTAGGTAAATGACTGGTTTTGAAAATGCTCTTACCATTAGGCCCTTTCATCCAAAACTGACCCTGAGAATCGCGCTTGACTTCGTCAATGACGGAAAGCGGGGCCTTTGATTTATTCCTGTCAGACAATAAAGAAACTAGTTACTTCTCAGATATACAATGTTTTTTGCAAAACATAACGAGGCATTGAACTTACTTGAAAAAATTATAGGTGCCAAGATTCATTCTATTATCTGTTACGTTGAAAGGAGCAATAATATGACATTTCCACAGAACATTCCAGGACCAGTAATCTACTCCAAACGTCAGGAACCAAACCCCTTGTATCTGTAGAGAAATTTATATTTCAGTTTTCGTAGAGCTTTAACGCTTTCAATCCGCGTTTGTTATTGCTCTCCGTGTAGGTCGCCTCCCTTTGCCAGACGTCGTTCGGTGAGTATTTTGCACATCTTATTTCAAACATCTACTAATCGTTGATCATTAATTGGTAGTCGGCGGTAACCTTGTCGCGTTATTCGTTCTTCATTGTTTCATAGATGAGTTAGCTATTTGCCAGAGGGAAACAAAAGTAACCGCACTTTCGTGAAACGGTGTTACGGTGTGGACGCGCTTCGTTTCTGTCTGTTAGCGAAAGCAGTAATATTATGTTTAGGCGATTTGCGATGCGTTAAGTACACAACTTATATACCACGGAGATAAGCGTCTTTATCAGTGCCTAGTAAAAGAGATACCGCAACACGATTAGAATTTTGCGGTGTTACGTTAAGATGATACGTAAAAGACATTAAGATGATGACGTACAAAATAATAATAGTTTTTCCAGCGAAAGCATGATACGCATACGGCATAGTGGTCTGTTCCAATCAGAAGTTATGAAGCACAACTCCTTCCTTGCGGCCCTGGCGTACTCTGACTAATCAGGCTATGCCTGATTTTGGCAGATTTGGCATAAGGTAATATTAATTTTTAGAAACACTAATAAACCTACTTACGCGTTCTATATCAATATCATTTCCTGAATATATTTCTCGACTCCACGCAAATGATAAAAACACAATAATCACAAATACTGAATATCTCGACTTCATTGTCCCGACCCTGTGAATATCTCGATCAAAATGAATGATTGAAAGAGAGTTCGTATGCATGGAATATCTTGTCGAAACAAAACCATAAACATTGCTTAGCAGTTCGTGATGCGATTTTGTGTTACAGTGCTTCGGTATTTTAAAAGATTTCAGCATAACGGGTTCAAATAAATCAGGAGGTTGCAGTATAACGGCTCTTTATAACGTGCTCTTTCGTTTTTATCAATTCATGCTCTTAACAATATTCAGAACTTCTTCGTTATATAGTATTTCTTTCATTTACTACGCAATATTGCGCAATAGTAGGCCTAATACACACAAAAGTACGCGCCATAATATCTTCAATTCAGCAAATATATTTAATTTTAATATGTCGTGGAGTATTGGTAAAAACTGGAAATGGTGGCATTGGGAAATTGAGACGTATATTAAGCATTCATCTATTAAAATGACATGAAACAGTTCAATGAGATGAGTGCGACTGCTTGGCTTCCATTAGTTCTACTTTTGGTTCTGTTTTTGATAATGCAACTCTCATATCGTGTCTCACGTCCATTCTGTGTCGACATTTTGTTTTATTAGCGAATAACGTGAAAAAAGCTGCCACCGGGATAGGACTGTGTCACTGGTGGATTTTCTCTTTCTTCATAACTTATCGCAACAAAACCAAATTTCACATATGAATCGTTATATCTACATTTATTTTTTGTGTGGCAGGGGAATTTTTAAATTACCCCGAGAAAATTTGCAATCAGATGCTAATGCCTTCCATAAACGCTATTTGCTACGTTCACCAACTTTTGTTACGTAATAATGTCTTCGATAGAGCGTGTTGTGATTTGGAGAAACACTGTAAAAGCATGACATCAAAATTTTACTTCAAATCAAAGTGCTTCTGTGCCGAAGTTGATGTTGACTCGCTGTCCCCCTAAAATCGCTTCGCGGAGTCCCAAGCGACCGCGGACCCCAGTTTGAGAACCAATGTTCTAGTCCATGTCGGTAAAAGTTATTTCTATTATGTGAGCACGATCTGTCAACAGCCGAGGCTATGCGCGAAACTTTCCCCGACACTAAGCGCTCTTCATAGGCAATACGTCTGTTTTCGTCGCGATCAAGATAATATCAATCACTTTGCCAACATACAACCTCACTATGCGAAATTCATCGGCATCTTCCCGCGCTCTCCTTGGCCTTATATCTTTACTCTTAAGTCCGAATACGTCCAGGGAAAGTTACAGCAGGGACATAGCAAATTTAATTAAACTTCAGTTAGGGTCTAGTAAAACTACTAGTAGAGCATTTAAAAGCTAACTCTGCCCAAAAAGTTACTGCGATTTCGATCGCTGTTACATGTAACGTATAGTATCAGAAACTACCGCCAAGATATCACTTCTTTACAATATTTAATTTAGTTCTAATTGTAGGCTACTTTCTCTTACTTTTCTACTCTCAAAGCCCCGTGAGACAACATGTAAGATAAAAAGTAAACCACGTAAAACATAATGTATTATTGTCTGTAATATTGAGTATGCAAGCATAAAAGCCATAATGAGTGACAGAACCATCAAAAATTAACTGAGAATATAATAAGTGTATATAGAGTATTATAACAACCATTATTTCATGAACCTACGTCACACTTCCTCCAAAGAGCTTACTCGATGAATATTAATGATTCAATTCCAAACTCATTTAGTTGGGGATTGATAATTTCCGTTCCTCGCAGCAACGTAACTCACGCGTGTGCGCGCGCACACAGAGTTCAGAGGCTGCGCACACGCATAGATTTAATGCGCTCAGACCTATTTCGATGTAATGTAACAATGTTCTCGGTTGGCAGGTTGAGAAAGTTTGTTGTTGGCCCACCCATTACTAGGGCTGGGCATTTTCGAATACCTGATGATTTCAGAATCGAATCGAATAATTTTTTCGAATCGAATCGAATCTCGAATACTTGGAAGGTATGAAATTGTATGTAACTTTCTTATTATTTTAGATCCTCCAGACACATAAATTACTGAAAACATAGAATACATCACTGACAATGAAAAAAAACACGTTTTCATCAATACCTCATTACAGAAAAGAGTCATAAGTCAGAATTGTGTTAAAAAAATATGGCTTCAATGAAAAAAGAATTAAGAAATTTACCTCGACCATTGGCGGAAAGAGTAAAACAAGATGGCGGCGATTCGAAAATTTGCTCTAAACCGATTCGAATAATTTACTATTCGATTCGATTCGGCCATTACCCGGTTAGAACGCCAAAATTTCTTCATTGGTTTTTACACAAATATTGGTCATTTCCAAAAAAGTGCGCACACACCAAAATTTCTGCGCACACATACTACAAAAAATTAGAGGGAACATTGCATGGGAGGGTTTTCAAAATACTCATTATAAAGTTAATTGGTATCGATGATTAAGTGATATCTAAGCTAGTAAATAGTCAGATGGAATCAAATCGCCACATCCAAATGTTATTAACGTGGCAGGGTCCACTCCTTGCTTAGCTGCAAGGGCCGTAAATTTGGTAATGTCCTCACCATTTATAGTTGGCGTTCGGGTTAAAATTTGAAAAAGATTCCGTCCTGCAAAAAAAAAAAATATTTATGTGGTCGACTGTGATAAGCAGCTCGGACATTGAGAAGGTTGTAAAATTAAATTTTCTTATTCACTCGGGAAGAGAATACTCACCATCACTCAATGGCATCCAGTGACTGTAGAATGTAGAGTAATCGGTTGAGCAAAGGTGCGGATGTGAGTGAAACCAGGTCTGTCCTGTGAGTAAGGAGGAGTACATTTACTTGTTTAATTTTTTGCTTCGGAAACAACTATTTTATTTTTCACCTTCTGAAAGAAGTTTCGTATTTCTGTCAACTGATTGGATTATTGGTATAACATCAGGTTGGTATTATATCAACTACGAAGTTCAGAACAGACAAGTATAATGAAAAAAATTAAAAGCACGCTTACCGGTGTGTGTTTGCATCCAATATTGGCCCAAAGAATCCCGCTTGCTGGCTGTTATTACGGTATGTGGAGCCTCCGATTTATCTCTGTTAGAAATCAGTTAAAACGGTTGTTACTACTCGTTTGTTAACTATTTTGGACACGCAGTGCGAAGACCAATTGCTTTGTAATTACCAGTGGTTGAAAATTGCATTTTTCGTTATAAGGCTATTACTTTTATTTATTTCAAATATTTCTGTAGTCTCAATGGGATTTGTTTGTTTTGTGTATACGATGTCGAATCAAAATTAAAAATTGAGCACCCTGTGTCGGTTCCACGGTTCGCGTTGGTTGCTTTCTGGTGGTCAGACGAAGTCCTGCAGTACCGATAGTCTAACGTGAAAAATTGCATACCCGTACTACCTCACTTTAGAATTCGTGTTCATATATTTGAGCATTGATCTTTTGTTCGTGCAATATATTTTTTTTCTGACTTGAAAAGAAGTAAAACTTACTTAGGAATATTGTACGTGTACATATTCATCTCATTCACTGTAATGTTGAAAGGTGCAACGATGTGACATTTCCACAAAACATTCCAGTTCCAATAATCAACACCGAATGTTAGAAACCAAACTCCACGTAACTGAGAGCAAAATATAATTATTTTGTATAATTACGAAAGCATTATAAACTATTTTATGCTATATAGAAGTATAATATTTAATACCAAACTATTCCCCTAATTTGTCTACAACAAAATGATCATAGATTTGAGGTAAAGGTAACATTCGAAAAAAGCCGACGAAAATGGAAATATTTTATGAGCGATGATAGTCATTTAGATCAGGGACGTGCAACCTACGTCCCACGGGCGAAATGCGGCCCACGAAGAAAAACTGTAGGGCACCCGTAAAGCGCCAATTTTGAATGGAGTGCGGCTCACGAAATGAGTTTATAATTTAGTTTAATCTGGTGCCTGCGAGTAATTTCAATCCCATTGCGTTGTAACGCTTATACCTGAGTCAAATTTATTATCTATGTCTATGACGTTATAATGCCCTAACAGCTAGCTATTGGGAAGCGAACGACGCACGCCACCCAGTATCTGGCCTTCCTGTATCAAATGCTGCACACCCTTGATTTATATTCTTTCAGGTTCAAATAAGAGGGCAACTTTGTAAACTTAGTTTCTGATTTTTACTAAAATCTGATTTTGTAACTTACGCGTTCAATATCTATTTCGTTTCCTGAATATATTTCTTGACTCCATGCACTCGATAGATACACAACAAATATTAACACAGAATTTCGCAGAGACATCGCATCCGACCTTGTGTATTATATCCCAATATAAATGAATGATAGAACGCTTCCAGAAAAAATGTTGTGAAGAAATTATAAACATTACACATTATCTCATGATGCCCCGGTGCCATTGTTTTGTCTGCTGTTGTTCGTCATATTTCATCTGTAAGTTTTTATTGTGTGAGTGTAGCCTACACCAGGGCTACTCAACTGGCGGACGCGCGGTTCGAATCCGGACCTTCCGGGTATTCTATTCGGACCGCGCATAATCCTTCATTTTGAATGATTAGCCCCACTTTTGAAGTTTTCTTTATAAAATCACTTTTATAGATTTAAAAATATATATATATATGAAAAGAAATATAACGCCATAACAAACAATCTTGATTAGCTAATAATCATTAGTCGGCCGAGGAATTGCGTGTTTAAAGATGCCGAAATATAATTTTTGGAAAGTCCGGACCCAAATATTTATAACGTTTTGTATGCGGAACCTTCGGTAAAAATAGTTGAGTAGCCCTGGCCTACACCAGCAGGTTTGCTTCAAAGCGCGAATGTAGAGCATTTAGATTGTTTGTTGTCATGGCAAGTCTTCGCACGTGTTCTCATCCTACTACTCTCAAAACCAAAATCGTTTTTGTGCACATTTTCAATGCAAAAAGTGATTCAGAGTGTATTTTTTTATTGAAATACCCCGCGCATCGCTGTGGAAATCCGAAATGGGGCCTTTCGAAAGCTGTACATACTGCCGGAATAATGATTTCAAAAAATGTTAAAAAAATTTTGCTTTGACTTTTACTCTCGTAGCGTCGCTCCATCACCTACAACAAAGTTATCAGATTGTACCAGCAAAGTGAAAAATGCAAGAAAAATCACGAAACATTGCTCACGGGCCTGCTAAACCCAATCCTAATACAGGTGAATCACAGGCTCGTTCAACACCTAAATCTGGTAAAACCAGTGTGTTAGTATAATACATTAATGGAGAATTTATTTCCACCGGCGGCAACCTACATTATGGGGCGCTTCCGAAGTATGTGCACCAAGATAGCGCACCTGGTACACATACTATGTTCAGGTTGTGCGCCATCTTGGTGCACATACTTCTGAAGGGCCCACTATAGTACCCACGTACTTTAGAATCTCAAGAGGAACTGGGCACTGTGCAAGCAAATTACTGGACTCCTCGTCTTTGTAGGGTGGTTCACATAGAGGCTTGTCGGTTTTCGTTTTCCTTCACCGCCAAATACGTTTGCGAACGCATTGTGCTACAGCTTGAGAGGGCATGAGCAATACGTTAGTCTTCAATACATGTTTCGATCGAGTTTCAGAATCGCTTACGCAAGCTTTTATATTTACCTCTTTAACCTATTAAATAAAAGAGAATAAAAAACAACAGCGAAATAGGTAAAGCATTTGTTTTAAAATAATATCTTTTTAAACAAATTAATATACTTCATAACTAGTCTTCTAGGTAAATCAAATTTTAGCATCAATTATACTGAAAAATAGGAATGCCTCTAACACGTGGTGGGGTGGTTTTACACGAACATTGCGCTTAAGCTTAAGCAGGCGTTTACGGGCAAGTCATCGATACTTGCGGTGTGTCGACGGGCATATCGACTTTGACAATAAGAATCGATTAGGCAAGTATTTACGTCTTGTTTTAGCCTATATTAATATAAAAGATACAAATAATACATCTATTTTGAACAAAGCAGGTAAAAAACTTGATTTAAATAATTGTTCCAAAACAAATCTTTTTGAACAATCAAAAAGGATCCGACAGGATTGATAAATTCAGCCATACCGCTGAAACGAGATTATACATTATGCACATATTATATAAACATGACCAAATCTGATTTGGTAAACACCAGATTGTCACCAATTAGAAATGACATCATTTGATTTATGGATCAAAACCCATTCAATGTTATTGGATTGGTCTCAAGGCCAGAAATTAATATTCTTTATTAGATTAATTCGTCGGTATATGAATTTTTCTTTTACATATTTCTCGTGGCGCTAGCTGCTGTGTACACATGGAGAGCAAATTGACAGAATAATCCTATGGTAATCAAATGCATATAATTCTGCAAGCTAACTTGTATTGTTTTACCGAAGAGATTGAGACAGAAAAAATTATACAAGTTTAATATTTATTGGAGCATTTACAAGGTAATGGAGAAATGTGAAAGGCAACCGTTACTTAATTTTAGGGATAAACCTAAACAAGAGATCGATGCTCAAATATGTGAACACGAAGCCAAAACGTACCGCAAACTTCATGACTAACGCAAACGTAAACGCCACAAGATGCACAATATTGATGACATCATCACACACAAAAACAAATAGAGCCAACAAAATTTTTTGTGAAATGCATGTGATATCCTTCTAGCAAGAAATACAATCTTCAACCACTGAAAATTTCAAAGCAATTGGTTCAGTAGGTAAAGAGAAAAGCCGACTTAGGTATTTTTAGTAACATTAACAGAATGCAGCTCACTTGTAATAGTTAAATGTTTTTTCAGAAGCTTTGCTTATTCGGTATTTGGAAATATGATTTTGATCAAAGTATCCAGATAAGTGCCCTTGAATAACTGATGCCCGAGCAGCTCTGTATATCCCTTGTCTCTAGCTAGAGTGCCAGATGGACTCGATCATTTCATACTTTCAATTCTCTTATGATGGAAATCCTATCTTACCCTGGAAAAAATTATAAACTTATTTTTTATGGAATTGTGTTCTCTTACTCATAGATCTGCGCGTGCAATATGAACGTCATGTGTCTACTAAACACTATTGAGAGCATTAGCATTGCCATCGGTCTCTATCAAACTCTTTGAGTGTGTATAGAGGTTAAATTTCCCAAGTTAATATGACTTCTATCAATTTTCTATGGAGCCATGCTGTTCCAATAAGCTTGCCAGGTATAGGAGGCGAACGCGAATTTCGCACTGCGGGCAAATATACTTCCAGTATTGCAACAAAAACGGTATATTTCTATGTCAGCTTCACGAGGTTCACTATGCAGAATATTCCAAAAGACAAATATCTGGTATTTCTGATATACAGATGGTTTGCTATTAATATTTGATTAGCTTCTTGCTTATATAGTCCCTCCCTAGGCGGATTGAACGGTGGAAATCGCCGATTCTTCAAATAATATTGGCAACTAAACAAGTGATTAATTTTAGTAACGTCTTTATAAACGTAGCATACAATGCAATCCATACCATTTTCATTATTGCACCCCTAAAACATATATTACTGCGGGAGGCCCTAAGATACCAGCAAGAGTATGTATTCATTGAAATAAGTATGAATATGCGCAGTAAAAGGTAAACAGCAGTGGGACACGAATTATGCAGTATAAAGCGTAAACCTCATTGGGACACGAATTATGAATTTAACCTCTATTGATTCTTGATTTTTCTATTGATTCCATGCAGCGCATGCATAATCTAGCTTATTGTTCGTCAAGATTATTCTTCACTGGAAGTTTGACGCTGTCAAAACGATGAGGGGTAGATTTGGTTCTGTTTTTGTGATTCTTGTGCTCTTAACAATCGCGCGGAGTCGAAAAATATATTCAGGAAAAGACATCGACTTGAAACGTGTAAGCTGTTATTTTGTATTGGTGAATTAACTATAATTGTAGTCAACTTCCGTTTTTTTTTTTTATAACATCAATAACACGAAAGAATAACCCAGATTTAATTTTAAATGCTACTTCGGCAATTAAAACAACACAATTGAGCGCACTATGGCTTGAAATTCTGACACTTAAAGCTATTTGTACTAAAATTTCTTACTTTTAGTTATGCGGAGTATGGTATCTAACATTTGGTGTAAATAACTGGGACTGGAATGTTTTGTGGGGATGTCACCTCATGGTACCTTTCAACACAACAGAGAACGATATGAATGTTTATTCATACAAATATCCCAAGTAAGCTTATTTGCGAAGGATTTATTTATCTAAAAATTGTGCTTGAATAGAGTGTAAAAAGTAACTGAATGCTAACAGTTCGTATTTCTAAAAGGAACAAATTAGATGCTCATGTTTCAATCATCGATGATGTGAGGCGGGATTCTTTGGATTATTATTGGATATATTCACAAATGGGTGAGTCTCGCAATTTTTCAATCCACAATATCATAAATTTCATCAATACTTTTTTAAAAAATTATTTTTAGATGGTCAATGGGAGAACATCAAATTGTTCAACGAACAAAGAAGATCAGGCATCATTAATAAATCCTCTCAAGTCCAAGGATCTGGTTTTTATAATGTTTGTTGTTATTAGAAGAAGTCTAGTTTTCTTTAACATATTCGAGCTATTATTTGTTCGCAGATAAACAATGGTATCATTCTCATCGACATCGCTTTTATACAGACTACGAGACATATCTCTGTGTGCTGTCGTCTGCAAGCGAGGGTAAGGAAAACGTAAAACATTGAATTAAAATTTATTCACTACAATAAAAATGTGTACGATCGCATATCAGATAGCTTCTTGTCCGAAAAAAAGTTTAGCCACTGCACAATAACATCCAATATCCGCCTATACAACATTTGTATAAAACTCGAAACTCCGAATGAACAGAATTAACGGGAAAATTAAGCGAAGCATGATAATATTTTGGCTGAAGCTGTCTAATTAGACTTTACGCTTTTAAATATCTCAAAAATACGCGCCGCCATGGACATACAAGAAAGAAATATCATACAATTATCTTATACCACCGCGGCGGTGTGGCTCAACGGGCTAAGCGTTAGGAATACGCTCGCCACCGCACCTCTTATTACTCTGCGTGGGTTCGCAGGTTCGAATCCCATGCAGGGATGGTTATGTGCGAGAGGATTGCTGGACTCCTCGCCGTCGTTGGGTGGTTCACGTAATCGCTGGTCGGTTACGGCTTCCTCCACCACCAAGTCCATGCTTCCGAAAACAAACAATACAATAAAAACTAATCCCATACCCGACTTGGAATGGTAACCGGACGAGAGGCCGTGGTTCGCCATATGGATAAGCCGTCTTATCGGCTTTCCTCTCCCCCGGGATAAATATGTAAAATCCTATCCTATCCTATCCTATATTATTCTTAAAGACCGAAAACTTTTTTCGTCCCACGATTGCATTCCCTTTCTCATTTGTAAAAAATTTTGTGAACAGTTTTAGTCAATCACTTTAGATACAATTTCTTCGATTGGTTTCCTAACGGGCGTACCCTGTCAGGATATTTAGTTTGACTTTACCCTTCCGTCTGTAATTTAGAGAACGGAAATTATGAATGTAAGTCGTTTACAACAATTATCTCGCTGTGTTTGCAGGTCAGAAAATTCTGCGATGTTTCGCCCGGACTCCATCGTTATCTGGCGAGGAGATTTCCACGTTGACGTCGTTTGCAACTGAACAAGGAATCGACGCAGCGACATTAACTACCTTCGGATGTGGAGATCTGGTTCCGTCAGACTATTTGTTGGGTTAACAATAGTATGAGCAATTTTGTGAAATGTCGTTTTAGTTGTAATTATTCAGTAGCGGTCTTAAATCTTTATAAAACAAAAACACCGATTATACAAGTATAAAATTTGTGATTTGTGATTTATCAAAAATTTGATTCTTGACATATTAGATGGGAGCATTCAAACCGTTTCTGCTTAATGCATAATCACACAAAAAATATTTTTCTTGAAATTGATACCATCATTGTTTGAAATAAAAGATCTTCAAGATCTATACTATCGAAATCAGTTATTGGAGACGTCCTGGTTCAAATTTGTAAAAGCTTCCGGCCTGCCACAATGGAGATAGTTTTGCAATTGACTGTAAAATCATATTTATTTCGCACAAAATATGACGAAGTCGTCATATTCAGCTTATGATGAGTTATTATGATATGAACAGAACAATATTAACAGATAGATAGGTATATAGTTGCTTTTCTTCTCGAGACATAACATAATGGGCGATTAATGATGTCGTAATCTTGTGATGTCACCTTGTATCATTTAGGCAATTATATCTATAATAAATTTAGGCGATAGGAATGCAATATTGTGTAACTTATACTTAACTACATTTGGGTATCCCAACTACATATCGCAATGTGCTACGTTTTGTTTAGATATTTATAACCGAACACAACAAAACTGGTCACAGCGACAAACAACAAACTCTCTTGTGCAGTATTAATGATAATCTTTTATGCATTGGGTAATATCCTACTCCAATTTGTCGTCGTTAAAAATGGCGCGACTACAGCTTGCAAGGTTATTAAGCAACGGGTGCGCATACTCACAAGAAGATTCCCGATAAAGACAGTTGAGACCTGGGGAAGAAAAGCAAAAACCAGATTAAAAAAGACAAGATAATCCAGTGGGAAAAGCAAGTCGACGCGTTAAAAAGGACAAGAAACGCGAGAGAAGTAGTGAGATAATGCTGAGCAATGGAGTTCATAACCAGGACGGGTAGGAATCCAGGACTCAGAGTGCGAGTGAGAAGCAGGTACGTCACTAAGTGTAAGTGATAATACAAAGCGAAATTGACAGTCGTCAGAATGTGCACCTGGTGGGCGATAAGTATAATATCAAAGAAATAAAAAACATCACAGGCACATTGTCAAGCCGGACAACGAGGTTGCCTGATGCCTCTCTAGGCGCGGGTGTTTTAAACTGATAAAACTGAAAATTCCGCTTGTGTGAAATCTTCAGTGCGGACAGACTTCAGTGCAGCAAGAAATTACATTCATCGCCAATGTGCTTTGATAAACAGGTTTAAATAATCCAAAAGCAAATATGTGAACTGCACTGAGACTGTTTACAATTGTCTATTTTTAATACGTCTGGAATTAAAACATCGCTTTCTACCAGTAGTGAGCTAATATACGGATCAAAATGTATATAGCAAACAATGAGAATAGTTTCAGCGTGTTTGCGTGACGAAACAACGGTACGAAATGCACTGCTGGCAAATATACTTCAAGTGTTGCAACAAAAACGATATTTCTATGTCAGATTCACGAGGTTTAGTGAATGATGCAAGATATTCCAAAGTAAAATACTCGTTTTTTCAAATACAGATGGTTGATTCCTAATATTCGTTCACCTGCTCGTTTATAGAGTCTCTTGCTAGGCGAATAGATAACATTGGTAATTAAGCAAGTCATTAATGTAAGTTACGTCGTTACAAAACTATTTCAATGTCCCCTGCACCTTGATTTCAAAATTCAACCTATAATTGATGCGAAAATTTTTGAGGTAGCAGATGCTGCGAATGCACAATGAGCAAACCCAGATACGTTAATGACGATGATAACGTCACTGATATAGTGTTGCAACATATACAGTTACATCACAAAGTTATACGATTTGCTTCAGCCTGTACAAACCGTTCACAGATTTGTTCGTATAGTAAGCGGTTTATTGTATATATATATATATATATATATGTTGTATGTTCCAAAATTTTACAAACGTCCATGCTTTGATGTAATTTATTCTGAATAATTAGGTTAAATTTCACACGAGAAAATATGTAAATCAAAATCGGAAGTAGACACGGGTCATCATTGAATCGTCATCTGTATTTTCAAATTTGCTGAATAAGACTTAACCTGCAAATGAGAAAACTATTGAAATCAAATGATACATCTGCGTTTAATATCATCTATATTGACGATTGTACAAAAAATGTTAAATATTTAGTAAGGAAATAAAGACGAGACAAATACAGAATGAAACAACCGCTTTGTTTGTCTTTACTATGATTAAGTTTCAACTGTTATAATTGAATTTCACGGGATCAAAAATCAAGTTACTTCAGACTGGGTAATTCGGATACCGTATTTATAGTTTGGGATAAGTATAATCAGTAACAATTACATCCAGACAAATATACTTGAAATTTCAAACTTTTCAAATGAACAATTTAATTTTAGTATTTTATCAACTTCAAAAGTCATTTGTCATTAATGTGCTTTACATTGAATCAAAAAATTTTCAGATAGGTTACTCATGTAATTTATGAATAATATGATATTGTTTTGTTTCAACTTCTGCTTTCATTTGGGAAAATATTTTTTTTACCTCTCTTTACTGCTTTAACAATTTCTTCCACTAAAGGAATCCACCAAACGAATTTTTCCTGATCTTCGTTGTCAAATGTTTTTGAAGCATCTTCAGATTGGTCACCTGAAATAATAACAGATAATTTGATATAGCTTCAATTGAATATTTTCATCTCGTTTTTTTAAACTTTTGAAAATTTGGAACCAAATAGAACAAAATATAAAAATTTAGTGTTTTGAACTTATCCCTGATTTGAACAAACAATTTTAGTTAAAATTTGGTTTTTTATCAATAAAACAAATGTTTTCCTTACCTCTCTTTACTGCTTGAACAATTTCTTCCACTAAAGGAATCCACCACACAAATTTTTCTTGATCTTTGTTGTCAAATGTTTTTGAAGCATCTTCAGATTGGTCACCTGCAATAATAACAGATAATTTGATATAGCTTCAATTGAATATTTTCATCTCGGTTTTTCAAACTTTTGAAAATTTGGAACCAAATGGAACAAAATATAAAATTTAGTGTTTTAAACTTATCCCTGATTTAAACAAACAATTTTAGTTAAAATTTGGTTTTTTATCAATAAAACAAATGTTTTCCTTACCTCTCTTTACTGCTTGAACAATTTCTTCCACTAAAGGAATCCACCACACAAATTTTTCCTGATCTTTGTTGTCAAATGTTTTCGAAGCATCTTCAGATTGGTCACCTGCAATAATTACAGATAATTTGATATAGCTTCAATTGAATATTTTCATCTCGTTTTTCAAACTTTTGAAAATTTGGAACCAAATGGAACAAAATATAAAAATTTAGTGTTTTGAACTTATCCCTGATTTAAACAAACAATTTTAGTTAAAATTTGGTTTTTCATCAATAAAACAAATGTTTTCCTAACCTCTCTTTACTGCTTGAACAATTTCTTTCACGATAGGAACCCACCAGAAAATTTTTTCCTGATCATTGTTATCAAAGTTTTTTGAGACTTCTTCAGATTGGTCACCTGCAATAATTACGAAGAATTTTAAATTTTCTATATCTTCAATGAAATACTTTCATCTCGTAATTTCAGATATTTTTGAAATATTCCGAACCAAATGGGATAAAATATAAAAATTCAGTGTGTTTTCCAACTCGTCCCCCAAACAAACAAAATATCGTAAATGAATGAAATTGCTTTTAAATTCGGTTTTTATCCTATAAAATAAAATATTTCCTTTGCCTCTCTCTATTGCATGAACAATTTTTTTCACGATAGGAATCCACCAGAAAATTTTTTTCTGATCTTTGTTGTCCAAGGTTTTCGAGGATTTTTCAGATTGGTCACCTGCAATAATTACAAAGAATTTCAAACCCGATATAGCTTCAAATTCAAAACAATTTTATTTATTTGTTGTATGTTGTTGTTGATAAAATCTGAATTATATAAAATGAAAAGTGAAAATTTGTGATGCATTTACTAACAACTGAATCGGATGTAGATTGAGATACAATAATGGGATTTACAGGGTTGTTGAGTTTTTTCGGCATTTGGAATTTTGAAAATATATCATATATCATTCGGGAATTGTTCGTCGGCATTTAAAATATTTCGATTCGAATAAAAGTTTTAGTGAAAATACAGGTTCAAATGTTATACCGACCAAATTCCAGAAATAGTTACCAAATGTGTTGGCAAATGTTTGAGAAATGCTCACGTAATAAAGAAGATAAATGAACTTACGAGATTCAAGAGACTTTGCCCTGTGAAAAGAAATGTAGACTTTATTATAGCTTTCCGTAACTTATCAATCTGGAAATTGTTAGAACATTTATAATTGAGCTCGTTTGGAATCATTGAGAAAGACATGCATCTTTTTTTATACGCAAAGTTGTATCTGAATTGAGATCAAACATGAATCAATAATAAACAGTGGAATTAACGAAATTTAAAAATAATTTCGATAGTGGATAAATACTCTCGTTTATCTTAGCATTTTATTCCTGAATAAAATCTTCAACTTTTTCATGTTGCCAGAAAAAAGTTTCTCAACAAAAACTAATTTAAAGTACATTGCTAGAATAAACCTGTATTGTTTAGTTTATATAAAAATTGAAATGTATCAGATTGAATGAAAACAGAACGCGGCGATGAGGTAAAACTAACCTGGTTAATCCAAAACTGCAGATTACCATGGCCAGAACGAGTACTGCAATTTTTCCAGACATTTTTTCTTCCTTGTTCTTCTCTGTTGGAAGTTGACTGAATTTGAAACAAAATTCGACTGTATAGAAAGTTTGAAGCAAGCGCATTTTATACACTTTACCTTTCCGTCTGTAAACAGATGTTTTATTGAAATATAACACGCAATAAAAAGCTTACGTTGTTCCATAAGGTGAATTTTTTGGAATAAATTACAGATGATATCCGGATGAATAAATATTAATTACTTTTCTAATTATTAAGACTCAGATCCAGCTGTATCAGTTTCGCAATATTCTAATGAATTTGATTTGTAATGTAGAGGCTGATTAGCAGCTTAAATTGTTTTGGCCTAATGTTTTCGTTTCGTTAGGAATTGTCTTTACTTTACGCTGACTTTAAAGATTATTCACGATTTGTGTAATTGTTGCAATTCTTGTATATATATTTAAAAAACGTAAGTCAAAAAATTAAAACAGAAATCAATTGTTTGATCAATGAAATATTAATTATAGTATCGATTAAATTTTAGTTAATTTCTTCCTACACTTACTACAATTGAATACAATTCACGGAAGGATGCGACTTTTGAATCGAGGCGGAAATTATTGTTGGTTGCCGTTTAATTTATATTCAGAAATATAAATGAGAATGAAAGTTTAATATGGTGTTTCTAAATTTTCATGAAAACTGTTTTGTAATCATTCAATCAATGAACAATTTTGTATTATTTACATTTATTATATATATATATATTAATTATATTTCGAATAATGAATGAATAGGCTGTTATACAACGATAAGTTTTATCTGAGCATGTTGATTTTATGACTACACATTATTATTCGATTGTTCCTATCCCATATAAGACGCCATTACATAAGGCAGGGGTGGTAAACCACTGACCCGCGATTCATGAAATGCCCCGTTAAGTCAAGACTTGAAACATGAAACATTGGAAAATTGCCAAATAAATAAAATAAATAATAATAAAATGAAAAATAAAATCATTCGTAATGCAATCAAACAAAAAGTCATTTACTATAGTGATTCCAGTATATTAGTACGAATCATCTACTGTGCTGTTTTCATGTTTATGTCATAAAATGCAAATGAGATGCTGTTGTTACCGCTTTTTGGTCCTTCGTATTCATGCGAATCCATATTTCCATATTTGACTTTACAAAAATTCATGAACATTCTTCTTTTTGGTGATAAACATAAAATGTGTGACGTCTTCCGTAAAAAGGTTTTGTCATCCCCGATACAAAGGTAAAACTGAGAAATCGAGCAAATAACAGCTTAAGATATTAATTATACACCGAGTTTTACTTTGAGAAAGTAACGTGGTAATCAGTATCGGCGATAATCGTTTGCAATTTTTCATTAATCAAAATGTTTCATGTTTTAGGTAGGGACGGGGCACCCATAGTGTGTGTACCAGGTTGAGGTTAGGCCATAATATTATTCCGATTTTCCTTATTTTAGTTCTATTACGAGTTTGGGAACTGTTTGTGTTAGCCAATCGAATATAGGTTTCTGCCAATAGGTTTCAGTCCCTTTTACACAACTTGATGTAAAGTAGGCGAACAAAATAGTTCCTTCATATTGGTATAGCCTACATACTTCTTCTGTAGCGCCACAGAATTTCCTTGTTCATTTTAAAACGAAGTGGAACGATGTCAAAGTTTTCAATTTACACCCCATAACATGGATGGCAAACCTTTTTACTGCCAACATTCGAAATTTTATGTTTGTCATAAAAAGGAGCAGGCTAGTGGATTATTTGAAAAGTCATATTTGTCAAAGTCAAAACATAGATCCCAATAAATATGGAAGGCCGAAAGGCTTTAACAATAACAACTTATTTGTTTTTGTTTGCATATAAATATATATAACACAAAATTGTGCTTTGAATCGTTATAAAACAGTTTGCTTGGAAATTTAGAAACGCCATATTGAACTTTCATTTTCGTTATTATTTCTGAGTATTAGACGACAACTCATAATAATTTCCGCCTCGATTCAACAGTCGCATCCTTCCGTGAATTGTATTCAATGGTAGTGAGAATTAAACTAAAATTAAAGATACTAGCAAGCGTATTCATTCATTGAAATAACTATAGATATGCGCAGTGAAAAAACAGCATTGGACCACGAATAATGTAGTTACCCGTCATTGATCTTTCTATTCCAGACATCATATACACAATAAGCCTATTGTTTCTTAAGCTTATCCTTCATTGAAAGTTGGACGCTGTCAAAACGATGAAGTGTAGATTTGGTTCTGTTTTTGTGATTCTTGTGCATTTAACAATCGCTCGGAGCCGAAAATTATATTCAGGAAAAAACATCGATTTGAAACGTGTAAGCTGTTATTTTATGTCAACGATGACCTACAATTGTAGTCAAATTCCGTTTTAAATAACATCAATGACAAACATGAATAACCTAAGCGTAATTTAGAATGCTACTCCGGCTATTAAAACAACACAATTAAACGCACTATGGCTTGAAATTCTGACACTCAAAGCTATTTGTACTAAAATTTCTTACTTTTAGTTATGCGGAGTATGGTATCTCACACTAGGTGTAAATACCTGGGACTGGAATGTTTTGTGGGGATGTCACCTCATGGTACCTTTCAATACAACAGAGAACGATATGAATGTTTACTCATACAAATATCCCAAGTAAGCTTATTTGCGAAGGATTTATTTATCTAAAAATTGTGCTTTAATAGAGTGTAAAAAGTGACTGAATGCTAACAGTTGGTATTTCTAAAAGGAACAAATTAGATGCTCATGTTTCGATCATCGATGATGTGAGGCGGGACTCTTTGGGTTATTATTGGATATATTCACAAACGGGTGAGTCTCGCCGCAATTTTAATAAGATGGTTATGATGTCATCACACAAGAACAAAATATCCCATTCAATTATCGTTTTATTTCGAAGTGTTGCAAACCATTGCGCCCCCATTAACAAGAAAGATTATGAATTTTTCAATCCACAATATCATAAATTTCATCAATACTTTTTTGAAAAATTTTAGATGGTCAATCACAAAGAAGATCAGGCATCAATATTGAATCCTCTCAAGTCCAAGGTTCTGGTTTTCATAACGTTGTTATTAGAAGACGTCTAATTTTCTTTAACATATTCGAGCTTTTATTTGTTCGCAGATAAACAATGGTATCATTCTCATCGACATCGCTTCTATACAGACTACGAGACCTATCTCTGCAAGCGATGGTAAGAAAATCGTGAAACATTGAAATAAAATTTATTCACTACAATGAATATGTGTACGATCGCATATCAGTAGCTTCTTGTCCGGAAAGAAGTTTGGCCACTGCACAAGAATATTCAATATCCGCCAATATAACATTTGTATAAAACTCGAAACTCCAAATGAACAGAATTAACGGGAAAATTTAGCGAAGCATGATAATATTTTAGCTGAAGCTGTCTAATTAGACTTTACGCTTCTAAATATCTCAAAAATACGCGCCGCCATGGACTTACAAGAAAGAAATATCTTACAAATATCTTATAATTATTAATTATATTATTCTTATAGACCGAATACTTTTTTCGTCCAAGCGATTGCATTCCCTTTCTCATTTGCGAAAATTTTTGTGAACAGTTTTAGTCAATCACTTTAGATACAATTTCTTCGATTGATTTCCGAACGGGCGTACCCTGTCAGGATATTTAGTTTGACTTTACCCTTCCGTCTGTAATTCAGAGAACGGAAATTATGAATGTAAGTCGTTTACAACAATTATCTCGCTGTGTTTGCAGATCGAAAAATTCTGCAATGTTTCACCCGGACTCCATCGTTATCTGGCGAGGATATTTCCTCGTTGACGTCGTTTGCAACTGAACAAGGAATCGACGCAGCGACGTTAACTACCTTCGGATGTGGAGATCTGGTTCCGACAAATTATTTGTTGGGTTAACAATAGTATAAGCATTTTTGTGACATGTCGTTTTAGTTGTAATAATTCAGAAGTGGTCTTAAATCTTTATAAAACAAAAACACCGATTATACAAGTATAAAATTTGTTGTGATTTATCAAAAATTTGATTCTTGACATATTAGGTGGGAACATTCAAACCGTTTCTTCTTAATGCATAATCACACAAAAAATTTTATTCCTGAAATTGATTTCATCATTGTTTGAAATAAAAGATCTTCAAGATCTATACAATATCGCAATCAGTTATTGGAGACGTCTTGGTTCAAATTTGTAAAAGCTTCCGGCTTGCCACAATGGAGATAGTTTTGCAATTGACTGTAAAATCATATTTATTTTGCACAAAATATGACGAAGTCGTCTTATTCAGCTTATGATGAGTTATGATGATATGAAAAGAACAATATTAACAGATAGATATATAGTTGCTTTTCTTCTCGAGACATAACATAATGGGCGATTAATGATGTCGTAATCTTGTGATGTGACCTTGTATCATTTAGGCAATTATATCTATAATAAATTTATGCGATAGGAATGCAATATTGTGTAACTTATACTTAACTTAAGAAATTACATTCATCGCCAATGTGCTTTGATAAACAGGTTTAAATAATCCAAAAGCAAATATGTGAACTGCACTGGGACTGTTTACAATTGTCTATTTTAATACGTCTGGATTGAAACATCGCTTTCTACCAGTAATGAGCTAATATACGGATCAAAATGTATATAGCAAACAATGAGAATAGTTTCAGTGTGTTTGCGTGGCGAAACAATGGTACGAAATGCACTTATGGCGAATATACTTCAAGGGTTGCAACAAAAAATATATTTCTATGTCAGATTCACGAGATTTAGTGAATGATGCAGGATATTCCAAAGGAAAAATACTCGTTTTTTTTTAAAAACAGATGGTTGATTCCTAATATTTGATCAGCTGCTCGTTTATAGAGTCTCTTGCTAGGCGAATAGATAATATTGGTAACTAAGCAAGTCATCGATGTAAGTTACGTCGTTACAAAACTATTTTAATGTCTCCTTCTCCTTGATTTCAAAATGATGCGTCGATTTGACGCTGATATCATTTTGTTTTCAGATCATAAAATTTTCAGTTTTTCCCAATAAACCAACCAACCAATAATTGATGCGAAAATATATGAGGTAGCAGATGCTGCGAATTCACAATGAGCAAACCCAGATACGTTAATGACTGGAAGATCGATCACTGATTTGGTGTTTTATCATATACAGTTACATCATAAAGTTATATAATTTCACAAACGTTCATGCTTTGATGTAATTTATTCTGAATAATTAGACTATAGGTTTCACACGAGAAAATATTTATTTCAAAATCGGAAGTAGACACGGGTCATCATCGAATCGTCATCTGTATTTTCAAATTTGCTGGATAAGACTTAACCTGCAAATGAGAAAACTAATGAAATCAAATGATACTTCTGCGTTTAATATCATCTATATTGACGATTGTACAAAACATATTAAATATTTAGTACATAAAGGAAATAAAGACGAGACAAATACAGAATGAAACAACCGCTTTGTTTGTCTTTACTATGATCAAGTTTCAACTGTTAAAATTGAATTTCGCGGGATCAAAAATCAAGTTACTTTAGACTGGGTAATTCGGATACCGTATTTATAGTTTAGGATAAATATAATCAGTAACAATTACATCCAGACAAATATAATTGAAATTTCAAACTTTTCAAATGAACAATTTCATTTTAGTATTTTATCAACTTCAAAAGTCATTTGTCATTAATATGCTTCACATTGAATCAAGAAAATTTCAGATAGGTTACTCATGTAATTTATGAATAATATGATATTGTTTTGTTTCAACTTCTGCTTTCATTTGGGAAAATATTTTCTTTACCTCTCTTTACTGCTTGAACAATTTCTTCTACTAAAGGAATCCACCACACGAATTTTTCCTGATCTTTGTTGTCAAATGTTTTCGAAGCATCTTCAGATTGGTCACCTGCAATAATAACAGATAATTTGATATAGCTTCAATTGAATATTTTCATCTCGGTTTTTCAAACTTTTGAAAATTTGGAACCAAATGGAACAAAATATAAAAATTTAGTGTTTTGAACTTATCCCTGATTTAAACAAACAATTTTAGTTAAAATTTGTTTTTTTATCAACAAAACAAATGTTTTCCTTACCTCTCTTTACTGCTTGAACAATTTCTTCCACTAAAGGAATCCACCAAACGAATTTTTCCTGATCTTTGTTGTCAAATGTTTTTGAAGCATCTTCAGATTGGTCACCTGCAATAATTACAGATAATTTGATATAGCTTCAATTGAATATTTTCATCTCGTTTTTTCAAACTTTTGAAAATTTGGAACCAAATGGAACAAAATATAAAAATTTAGTGTTTTGAACTTATCCCTGATTTAAACAAACAATTTTAGTTAAAATTTGTTTTTTTTATCAATAAAACAAATGTTTTCCTTACCTCTCTTTACTGCTTGAACAATTTCTTTCACGATAGGAACCCACCAGAAAATTTTTTCCTGATCTTTGTTGTCAAATGTTTTTGAAGCATCTTCAGATTGGTCACCTGCAATAATTACAGATAATTTGATATAGCTTCAATTGAATATTTTCATCTCGTTTTTTCAAACTTTTGAAAATTTGGAACCAAATGGAACAAAATATAAAAATTTAGTGTTTTGAACTTATCCCTGATTTAAACAAACAATTTTAGTTAAAATTTGTTTTTTTTATCAATAAAACAAATGTTTTCCTTACCTCTCTTTACTGCTTGAACAATTTCTTTCACGATAGGAACCCACCAGAAAATTTTTTCCTGATCTTTGTTGTCAAATGTTTTTGAAGCATCTTCAGATTGGTCACCTGCAATATTTACAGATAATTTGATATAGCTGCAATTGAATATTTTCATCTCGTTTTTTCAAACTTTTGAAAATTTGGAACCAAATGGAACAAAATATAAAAATTTAGTGTTTTGCACTTATCCCTGATTTAAACAAACAATTTTAGATAAAATTTGGTGTTTTATCATTAAAACAAATGTTTTCCTTACCTCTCTTTACTGCTTGAACAATTTCTTTCACGATAGGAACCCACCAGAAAATTTTTTCCTGATCTTTGTTGTCAAATGTTTTTGAAGCATCTTCAGATTGGTCACCTGCAATAATTACAAATAATTTGATATAGCTTCAATTGAATATTTTCATCTCGTTTTTTCAAACTTTTGAAAATTTGGAACCAAATGGAACAAAATATAAAAATTTAGTGTTTTGAACTTATCCCTGATTTAAACAAACAATTTTAGTTAAAATTTGTTTTTTTTATCAATAAAACAAATGTTTTCCTTACCTCTCTTTACTGCTTGAACAATTTCTTTCACGATAGGAACCCACCAGAAAATTTTTTCCTGATCTTTGTTGTCAAATGTTTTTGAAGCATCTTCAGATTGGTCACCTGCAATATTTACAGATAATTTGATATAGCTTCAATTGAATATTTTCATCTCGTTTTTTCAAACTTTTGAAAATTTGGAACCAAATGGAACAAAATATAAAAATTTAGTGTTTTGCACTTATCCCTGATTTAAACAAACAATTTTAGATAAAATTTGGTGTTTTATCAATAAAACAAATGTTTTCCTTACCTCTCTTTACTGCTTGAACAATTTCTTTCACGATAGGAACCCACCAGAAAATTTTTTCCTGATCTTTGTTGTCAAATGTTTTTGAAGCATCTTCAGATTGGTCACCTGCAATAATTACAAATAATTTGATATAGCTTCAATTGAATATTTTCATCTCGTTTTTTCAAACTTTTGAAAATTTGGAACCAAATGGAACAAAATATAAAAATTTAGTGTTTTGAACTTATCCCTGATTTAAACAAACAATTTTAGTTAAAATTTGTTTTTTTTATCAATAAAACAAATGTTTTCCTTACCTCTCTTTACTGCTTGAACAATTTCTTTCACGATAGGAACCCACCAGAAAATTTTTTCCTGATCTTTGTTGTCAAATGTTTTTGAAGCATCTTCAGATTGGTCACCTGTAATATTTACAGATAATTTGATATAGCTTCAATTGAATATTTTCATCTCGTTTTTTCAAACTTTTGAAAATTTGGAACCAAATGGAACAAAATATAAAAATTTAGTGTTTTGCACTTATCCCTGATTTAAACAAACAATTTTAGATAAAATTTGGTTTTTTATCAATAAAACAAATGTTTTCCTTACCTCTCTTTACTGCTTGAACAATTTCTTTCACGATAGGAACCCACCAGAAAATTTTTTCCTGATCTTTGTTGTCAAATGTTTTTGAAGCATCTTCAGATTGGTCACCTGCAATATTTACAGATAATTTGATATAGCTTCAATTGAATATTTTCATCTCGTTTTTTCAAACTTTTGAAAATTTGGAACCAAATGGAACAAAATATAAAAATTTAGTGTTTTGAACTTATCCCTGATTTAAACAAACAATTTTAGTTAAAATTTGTTTTTTTTATCAATAAAACAAATGTTTTCCTTACCTCTCTTTACTGCTTGAACAATTTCTTTCACGATAGGAACCCACCAGAAAATTTTTTCTTGATCATTGTTATCAAAGTTTTTTGAGACTTCTTCAGATTGGTCACCTGCAATAATTACAAAGAATTTTAAATTTTATATATCTTCAATGAAATACTTTCATCTCGTATTTTCAGATATTTTTGAAATATTCCGAACCATATGGGATAAAATATAAAAATTTAGTGTGTTTTCCAACTCGTCCCCCAAACAAACAAAATATCGTAAATGAATGAAATTGCTTTTAAATTCGGTTTTTATCCTATAAAATAAAATAATTGATTAAAACTGAATTATATAAAATAAAACGTGAAAATTTGTGGTGCACTAACAACTGAATCGGATGGAGTTTGAGATACAATAATGTGATTTACAGGGTTGTTGAGTTTTTTCGGCATTTGGGATTTTGAAAATATATCTTATATCATTCTGGAATTGTTCGTCTGCATTTAAAATTTTTCGATTCGAATAAAAGTTTTAGTGAAAATACAGGTTCAAATGGCATACCGACCAAATTCCAGAAATAGTTACCAAATGTGTTGGCGAATGTTTGAGAAATGCTCACGTAATAAAGAAGATAAATTGAACTTACGAGACTCAAGAGACTTTGCCCTGTAAAAATAAATGTAGACTATATTAACTTATCAATCTGGAAATTGTTAGAACATTTATAATTGAGCTCGTTTGGAATCATTGAGAAAGACATGCATCTTTTTTTATACGCAAAGTTGTATTTGAATTAAGATCAAACATGAATCAATAATAAACAGTGGAATTAACGAAATTTAAAAATAATTTCGATAGTGGATAAATACTCTCGTTTATCTTAGCATTTTATTCCTGAATAAAATCTTCAACTTTTTCATGTGGCCAGAAAAAAGTTTCTCAACAAAAACTAATTTAAAGTACATTGCTAGAATAAACCTGTATTGTTTAGTTCATATAAAAATTGAAATGTATCAGATTGAATGAAAACAGAACGCGGCGATGAGGTAAAACTAACCTGGTTAATCCAAAACTGCAGATTATCATGGCCAGAACGAGTACTGCAATTTTTCCAGACATTTTTTCTTCCTTGTTCTTCTCTGTTGGAAGTTGACTGAATTTGAAACAAAATTCGACTGTATAGAAAGTTTGAAGCAAGCGCATTTTATACACTTTACCTTTCCGTCTGTAAACAGATGTTTTATTGAAATATAACACGCAATAAAAAGCTTATGTTGTTCCATAAGGTGAATTTTTTGGAATAAATTACTGATGATATCCGGATGAATAAATATTAATTACTTTTCTAATTATTAAGACTCGAATCCAGCTGTATCAGTTTCGCAATATTCTAATGAATTTGATTCGTAATGTAGAGGCTGATTAGCAGCTTAAATTGTTTTGGCCTAATGTTTTCATTTCGTTAGGAATTGACCTTACTTTACGCTGACTTTAAAGAATATTCACGATTTGTGTAATTGTTGCAATTCTTGTATATTTAAAAAACGTAAGTCAAAAAATTAAAACAGAAATCAATTGTTTGATCAATGAAATATTAATTATAGTATCGATAAAATTTTAGTTGATTTCTTACTACACTTACTACAATTGGATACATTTCACGGAAGGATGCGGCTATTGAATCAAGGCGGAAATTAATATGGGTTGCCGTTTAGTATATATTCAGAGAAATAATTGAAAATGGAAATTCAATATGGCGTTTCTAGATTTCCAAGAAAACTGTTTTATAATCATTCAATCAATGACCAATTTTGTATTATATAAATTTATTATATATATATATATATATTGATTATATAATAAATAAACCTAAATAATACCAACCGTTTTTTGGATTGAGTTGCAGATGAATGAATAAAGGTAAAAGTGAGAAATCGAGCAAATAACAGCTTAAGATAATAATTATACACCGAGTTTTATTTTAGGAAGTAACATGGTAACCGGTATCGGCGTTAATCGTTTGCAATTTTTATTTTTTCAAAAAGTTTCATGTTTTGGGTACGGACGGGGCACCCGTAGTGTGTGTACCAGGTTAGGATTAGGCCATAATTTTATTACGATTTTCCTAATTTTAGTTCCATTACGAGTTCGGGGACTGTCTGGGTTAGCCAAGTTAGCCTCGGAATTTAATTGTTCATTTTAAGACGAAGTGGAACGATGTCAAAGTTTTCAATTTACACCCCTTAACATGAATGGCGATCCTTTTTACTGCCAACATTCGAAATTTTATGTTCGTCAATAAAGAGAAGAAGACTAGTGGATTATTTGAAAAGTCATATTTGAAAACATGGATTCCAATGAATATGAAATGCCGAAAGGCTTTAACAATAACAAATCAGTTGTATTTTCTGCATATAAATATATATAACAAAAAAAAAATTGTGCATTCAATCGTTATAAAACAGTTTTCTTGGAACTTTAGAAACGACATATTGAACTTTCATTTTCGTTATTATTTCTGAGTATTAGACGACAACGCATTATAATTTCCGCCTCGATTCAACAGTCGCATCCTTCCGTAAATTGTATTCAATGCAGTAATAAGTGCAGTAAGAATTAAACTAAAATTTCATTGATACTATACTTGATATTTCATTAATTAAAAAACTAGTTTCCTATTTAATTCCTTGATTTACGTTTTTTTTCAAATGTTCAAGAAAGGCAACAATCACACGAGAACAATGAGAACATAAAATGAGAACAATTTCTAACGAAAAAAAAATATGAGACCAAAACAATTTGAGCTTCTAATCAGCCTCTACATTACAAATCAAATACTATAGAATATTGCGAAACTGATACAGCTGGATCCGATTCTTAATAATTAGAAAAGTAATTAATATTTATTTATCCGGATATCATCTGTAATTTATTCAAAAAATTCACCTTATGGAACAACATAAGCTTTTTATTGCGTGTTATATTTCAATAAAACATCTGTTTACCGACGGAAAGGTAAAGTGTATAAAATGCGCTTGCTTCAAACTTTCTATACAGTCGAATTTTGTTTCAAATTCAGTCAACTTCCAACAGAAAAGAACAAGAAGGAAAAATGTCTGGAAAAATTGCGGTATTTGTTTTGGCCATGATAATCTGCAGTTTTGGATTAACCAGGGTAGTTTTACCTCATCGCCTTGTTTGATTTTCATTCCATCTGATACATTTGAATTTTTATATGAACTAAACAACACTACGTAATTCTATCAATGTACTTTAAATTAATTTTTGTTGAGAATTTTTATATAATAAGCTATAATATAGTCTACATTTATTTTTACAGGGCAAAGTCTCTTGAATCTCGTAAGTTCAATTTATCTAATTATTACGTGAGCATTTCTCAAACATTCGCCAACACATTTGGTAACTATTTCTGGAATTTGGTCGGTATAACATTTGAACCTGTATTTTCACTAAATCTTTATCGAAAATTTTCAAATGCTGACGAACAATTCCAGAATGATATATGATATATTTTTAAAATCCTGAATGTCGAAAAAAACTCAACAACCTTGTAAATCACATTATTGTATCTAAATCTCCATCCGATTCAGTTGTTGATAAATGCATCACAAATTTTCACGTATTGATTTTATATGATTTAAATTTTATCAAAAAAAAAAAACGAAATCGAAAAATAAATAATCTTATTTTAAATTTGAAGCTATATCAAATTTGGAATTCTTTGTAATTATTGCAGGTAACCAATCTGCGAAATCCTCGAAAACCGTTGATACCAAAGATCATGAAAGATTTTGGTGGATTCCTTTAGTGGTAAAAATTGTTAACGCAGTAGAGAGAGGTAAAGCCAATAATTCGTTTTATTAAAAATCCGATATATTTTGTTTTATATAATTCGAAATTTTCAGAAATTTGAAAATACGAGATGAAAGTATTGAATTGAAGCCATTTAAAATTTTCTGTAATTATTGCAGGTGATCAATCTGATGAAGCGTCAAAAACATTTGCCAACAAAGTTCAGGAAAGATTCTGGTGGATTCCTATAGTGGAGGAAATTGTTCGAGCAGTAAAGAGAGGTGAGACGAATGTTTTGTTTTATGGGATAAAAACCGAATTCAAAAGCAATCTCATTCATGTACGATATTTTGTTGGTTTCAATTGCGGGATGAATAGAAAAACACACTAAATGTTTACAGTTTATCTCATATGGTGGGAATATTTCAAAAAATCTGAAAATACGAGATGAAAGTATTTAATTGAAGCTATAGAAAATTTAAAATTCTCCGTAAATATTGCAGGTGACCAATCTGATGAAGTTTTAAAAACATTTGACAACAAAGATCCGGAGAGATTCTGGTGGATTCCTATAGTGGAGGAAATTGTTCGAGCAGTACAGAGAGGTGAGGCGGATATGTTGTCTTATAAATGAAAGCAGAAGTTGAATCAAAGCATTACCTATATTCTATATTATTCATAAGTTACATGAGTAACCTATCTGAAAAAAAAAAATATTGGATTCAATGATAAGGACACAACCGACACTGTGTTAAGAAACGTTGCTGGTACAATTGTAAGAGCAGTTAAACTGATCAATTCATAATCATAATTCAATCTAATATATTTCACAGAAAACAAAGTACATACTTTAGTAAAATGTTAACATTAAAATTATTTTGATCTATTGATGTCTGATATATTACTTTTGAAGTTGATGAAATACTAGAATGATATTGTTCAATTGGAAGATTTGAAATTTTAATTATATTTGTCTGGATGTAATTGTCACTGGTTATACCCATCCCAAATTATCAATACCGTTATCTAAATAACCTAGTTCAAAGTAATTTAATATTTGATATTTTTGATTTTAATATTGAGTAAATTTCAAAAATACCGTAAATATAGTAAAGACAAACAAAGCGGATGTTTTATTCTGCAATTCTTCACTCGCCTTGTAGTCTTTATTTCTGTATTGGAATATTTTGTATCTTTGTTACAATCTTCTCTAAAAATATTATTTAGCGCATGAGTATTATTTGACTTCATTAGTTTTTTCTTCGGCAGGTTAAGTCTTATCGAGCAAATTTGAAAATACAGATGACGATTCAAGGATGACCCGTGTCTACTTCCGATTTTGATTTACATATTTTCTCGTGTGAAATCTAACCTAATTATTCAGAATAAATTACAACAAAGCATGTACGTTTGTAAAATTTTGGTCGATGGATTCCAAGAAAGATATTAGGACATAAACATACAATAAACCGCTGGGGCTCCCGAAGTATGCGAACCAAGATGACGGACATCGGAATGTAATATGTGTACTAGGTTAGGGTTAGGCCATAATTTTAGGTATAAATACTACGGGAGGCTCTTGGCTAGTCTTCGAACTGATAATAGGGTTACTAAAATAAGGACTAAGGACTAAAATAAGGAAAATTGGAAACAAATTATCGCCTAACCCTAACCTGTTACCCATGTTACGTTCCGATGTCCGCCATCTTGGTTCGCATACTTCGGGAGCACCAAACCGCTTACTATACGAACAATTCTGTGAACTGTTTGTACAGGTGACCGTACATTTGAACCCACGTACATTTGAACCCATGTGTATATCCACGGGTTCAATCTATATGCGGGTGCTAAAACCCATGGGTTATGGTTAGTATGGGTTCAACTATCCGTAAAACAAAAAAAATTAAAATTAAAAAATTCCAATTAATTGCATACGTTTGTATTATATACGTTTATGTGCGAAAATACTACCGAGTTGTTATTGTTAAAGCCTTTCGGCCTTTCATAGTCATTAGAATCCATGTTTTTAAATATGTCTTTTCAAATATCCACCAGTATTCTTTTTTTAAGGATGAACATAAAATGTCTAACGTTGGCAGTAGAACGGATCGCCATCCCTAATATGGAGTATAAATTAAAAATTTTGACATCGTTCCACTTCGTTTCAAATCGACAAAGAAATTCTGGCCCAGAAACAGAAAAGTATTCGCGAATAATATCTTACAACAGGTTTACACTAAAACAACTCATAGTGTTTTTAAAGGAATGTCTTGATATATCCGATGTATCAAAATGAGACTATCTGTGAACAAATCAGTAATAGCTAACATTGTCGTTAAATTCAGATATTGAGCTATGTCGAAAGAAGTAAAAAAAATCGATATTTCGCTTCTGCATAATTTCACTAAACATCCTCTTCCATTTTCACAATAAAAAACGTTAGGATTAATATAAAATTGCAAAAGATCATCATCGATATTGGTGGCGCTGTTATTTATTTAGGTAAATCCCGGTGTATAACTTATAGGTTAAGCTGTTTTCAGCTCGATAGATGTTTTACTGTAAAACAGGTAGCAAAATATTTTCTAAAAATTTCATTCAGGCATAATCTGTTATTTATGAGAGTCAGAGTTACATTGTTTATTTTGAAACGAATTGAAATGTTGTCAATTTCTCATTTTTATTTTATATCGGAAATGACAAACCTTTCTACTAAAAACGTCACCGATTTTATATTCATCAGCAAAAAGAAGAATGTTGATGGATTTAATGTAAATCCAATGTGAAAACATGAATTCGCATGAATATGTAGGACCAAGAAGGGTTTTCAACAGCTCATTCGTATTTTTATGACTTAAACTTGATGACAGAACTATTGCCAGTAGCTGATGCGTAATAATATACCGAAATAGTAAATTGAATATTGTGTGAATGCATTATGAATGATTTTTTCTGTTTTAAATCTTGACTTAACAGAGCATTTTAAAAACCGCGGATCAGTGGTTTGTTTTCCTGTCTTATATGATGTCTTCTTATATGTGATTGGAACAATCAAAAAATAGGTCGGGACGGTCGGGATTTAAATCAGAAAGCCCCCTATACCTGCGGTAGTATAGAGCTCGAACATATTTTATTTGAAAAACTATTTTTTGTATGATTATGCATTAGGACGAAACTATCTCTCAACTAATATATAAAATTTAGATAAAATCACAATTATTTTTATACAAATATATCCGGAAGTTCTGTGTTATAAGGATCTAAGCCCGCTCTGAATTTATCATCATTACGGCACGTCAAGATAACACCATCACATCAGCAGGTAGTTGATGTCGCTGGGTCGATTCCTTGATTGGTTGTAAACAACGTCAACTCGGAAATCTTTTCACCAGATAAAGATGGCGTCCGGGTAAAACATTGCAGCAGAAGTTTCGGATCTGCAAACACAGTAAGAGAATTGTTATAAACGATATTTATTTATAATTTTTGTGCTTTGAATTTCAAGCGGAAATACAAATACCAGCAGTTTATGTACAAGAGTGAGTTCTTGTCAGAGTGACATCGATCGGGATCTATTCGACGAAAAACCGAATCTAAAGAGATTGAATGAAATTGCTAACAAAGATTTTCGTAAATAAAAATGTTAAAACAATCGCGGGACAAAGAAACTATCGGTGTATATGGATAAGATAACGAATAAAACAATTAAGACAATCGGTGTTACGTTGTAAACCAATATGATCCTAGGTCTTTGAGTTTGATGTTAAACTTTTGAGTGTCTACATTTTCTTTTCTTGTCGTGCTGCTCTGCTATTACTGTTTACAATACAGTTCGCATTTAAATTTTTCATTTGCAGTTTTTGAATATATTTTGTAAGCGAATATTGGAGATTATAGTGCCATGGTTTTATCGTACACATAAAGGAGGCGAAGAACAAGCGAATAAATGTATTTAGTGCAATGTTTTATGATTTTCTTACCATCGCCTGTAGACGACAGCACACAGAGATAGGTCTGTATAACAGCGATGTCGATGAGAAATAAACCATGGATCTTCTGCGAAGAAACAAAAGCTCGAATATGTTGAAGAAAAACAGACTTCTTCCAAGAACAATATTATTGAAATCAGAATCTTAGACTTGAGAGGATTTAGTAATGATGCCTGACTCTTTTTGTTTGCTGAACAATTTGATGTTCTTCCATTGACCATCTAGGAAAAAGATTTTTTGAAGTTTTGCTGAAATTGATGGTATTGATGGCGTGAACAAATCGTAATTTTTCTCTTTAATGAGAGCGCAATGGTTTTCAACATCCCGAAATAAAACGATAATTAATTGGGATATTTTGGTCTCGTAGCAATCTCATTAAACTTGTAAAACTCACATGTTTGTGAATTTATCCAATAATAACCCAAAGAATCCCGCCTCACATCATTGATGTTTGAAACATGAGCATCTAATTTGTTCCTTTTAGAAATACGAACTGTTAGCATTCAGTTACATTTTGTATTAACACTAATAATAGTTACTTCGCAAAACAGCTCACTTTGTACGAAATTCGTATGAGTACACATTAATATCGTACTCTGTTGTATTGAAAGGTACAACAAGTTGACATCCCCATAAAACATTCCAATCCCAGTAATTTACACCAAGTGTGAGATACCATAGTCTTCATAACTAAAAGTGACGCCTGGGATATTCTTGTTTGTTATTGATGTTATAAAAAACGGAATTTGACTACAATTGTAGTTCATCGTTGACATAAAATACCAGCTTACACGTTTCAAGTCGATGTTTTTTCCTGAATATATCTTTCGACTCCGCGCGATTGTTAAAAGCACAAGAATCACGAAAACAGAACCAAATCTACACTTCATCGTTTTACCATCCTCAAATCTTGAGTGAGGAATAGGCTTAAAGAACAATAAGCTATATTGTGTATATGCTGTCGGGAATCGATAGTAAAGTCGAAAATCATTAGAGGGGAACTGCATAATTCATGTCTCAATGCTGTTTACTCTTTTTGCTGCGCATGTAGATTGGCTGGGCGGTGTGGCGCATTGTGCTAAGCGTGAAAATACGCTTGACACATTACCTGATTACCCTCAATGATTCCGTTGGTTCGAATCCCGTGGAAGATAATTATGTGCGAGAGGATTGCTAGACTCTTGGCCGTCGTTGTAGGATGGTTCACGCAATCGCTAGAAAATTACGGCTTTACTCGACCACCAAGCCCAACCGTGCACAGAAAACAAAAAAAAAACTGGCTTACTGAGCCCATACCGGCGACATGGACTGGTAACCGGACGATAGATTCGCCGTATTATTAAGTCGTCTTATCGTCTTTTCTTTCCCCAGAGATAATTATGCAAATTGTAATTCCTATTCACGCAATGCTCGTGTCGAACCACCCCATCACGTGTTGGAGTTGTGACCTGCTAGATTCCCGTGTAGGGAGATTTTCACTTTTAATAAGACAAAAGAGCTGTGCTCAAATATATGGACACGTTAACCAGAGCGAAGCAGTATTTACCTTTGACGCCACCGGTACCCACAAAAAATTCCGAGTTTCGCGTAGAAATAATTTACAGAATCAAACCGGACAGCCAGTGTTCCCATGGATAAAATAATACAGCGAAATTTTAGACGAAATATCAGATTTCATGCGAAATTTAGAAATAAATAAAAGGTATTAAGGTATTCAGTTGGTTATGGCCTCTATATCGCAAAAACTTGATACAAGGGTAGGTAAAACTCACTGCAGGGTGGCTGTTTGCAGGTATTGCGACAAAAACATTGTTTAACTAGTAGATCGCGTGGCGAAAGTTAAGTTCCTTTGCATTCTTATTTTTCAGTATAATTGATGCTGAAATTTGATTTCCCTAGAAGACTAGTTATAAAGTATATTATATTGCAACAATATAAAAGCTTGCGTAACAAGATATGTCTTTAAACAAATGCTTTACACATTTTGCTGTTGTTTTATATTCTATTAAAACACAACGATAAATGTAAAAAGCTTGCGTAAGCGATTCTAGGTCTCGATTAAAACAGGTATCAATAACTAACGTGTTGTGCATGCACTCTCAAGCTGTGGCTGTGGAGGAAGCCGAAAAACGGCAAGCCCTTATGTGAACCACCTTGCAAAGACGAGGGGTTCAGCAATTTGCTCGTTCAGTGCCCCGTCACTCTTAAGATTCGAAGGTACGTTACGTAGGTACAATACTTGAAATATATATGCCTCAGGAATAAGCCCGAATAACCCAGATGCGCCGAACAGAAAATTATTTTGAAGCATTCGAAACGATACCATGTGACGTCATGCCTAATAACCATTAATTACCACTGCCCATTACCTAATACACCGTCTGGTATTGGTCAAAACGGATCACTGAATAGCTATTATTAGAACGTCGTTTCTTGTCCGAAAATCAAATACCGTATTTGTCCAAAATATTCTTTTGACACCAAACGTTAAACATGATCTACATGAATATATATTGTGAGACCGACATGACATGTGGGTATTCACATCAATCAACTAGAGCAAAGTTTAGTAAAGATGACGCAGATGTCAGTGGGTGATTTAAAACACAAATTACATGTTTATTGAAGATTCTATGTTCTGATCCGAACTCATGAATGACTTTCGAAGCTATATTGAAGCAGGGAAAAACTTATCAACACGTCACAAGAGATCCGAATCGGGTTTTAATAAAGCGTTTACAAACCTTTCAACATAAAATTAGTAGAGAAATATTCAAGTTTAGTCTTGTAAGCCGTAGTGATGGTAGTCAATGCGAGTTATACTGAAATTCATTATCCAAGAGCATTATCCATTTCTCGAGGCAGGCAGCATTGCAAGTGTATGCTGTGTAGAGTAGCTAAAATTTAATGAATTATCAAGAATAAATGCCATGCTCCTGCTGTCATACTGCAGGAAGACCTAAGATACCAGCAGGAGTATTCATCCATTGAATAGGATTTACATATTTATTTAGAGGACGAGGGAAGACAATAATACCACTTATTCATATGTCCAATCACAGTCTATCCTCCGGTTACCAGTACATGTCGCGGGAATGGGATCGGTAAGCCAATTATTTTGTTTTCTGTGCATGGATGGGCTTGATGGTGGAGGACTGTAATCTACCAGCGTTTGCGTGAACCATCCAACGGAGGCGGCCAGGAATCTGGCAATCCTCCCGCACAAAATTATTTCTCCCGGTATTCGAACCTGTGAACCCACGCAGAGTTTTCTGATGCTGAGACAAGCGATTTCCACGCTTAGCACGATGCGCCACACCACCGAGCCAATCCAGAGTATGCACAGGAAACAGGAAACAGCATTGCGACACGAATTATGCACTTAGCCTCTATTGATATTTCTATTGCAGACATTATATACACAATATAGCTTATTGTTCCTTAAGCCTATCCCTCACTCAAGATTTGAGGCTGTTAAAACGATGAAGTGTAGATTTGGTTCTGTTTTCGTGATTCTTGTGCTTTTAACAATCGCGCGGAGTCGAAAAATATATTCAGGAAAAGAAATCGACTTGAAACGTGTAAGCTGTTATTTTATGTTGTCGTATTAACTACAATTGTAATCAAGTTCCGTTTGTTTTTGTAACATCAATAACAAGTAAGAATAACCCAGACTTAATTTCGAATGTTATCTCGGCAATTAAAACAACACAATTAAACGCACTATGGCTTGAAATTCTGACACTCAAAGCTATTTGTACTAAAATCTCTTACTTTTAGTTATGCGGAGTATGGTATCTCACACTTGGTGTAAATACCTGGGACTGGAATGTTTTGTGGGGATGTCACCTCATGGTACCTTTCAATACAACAGAGAACGATATGAATGTTTACTCATACAAATATCCCAAGTAAGCTTATTTGCGAAGGATTTATTTATCTAAAAATTGTGCTTTAATAGAGTGTAAAAAGTAACTGAATGCTAACAGTTCGTATTTCTAAAAGGAACAAATTAGATGCTCATGTTTCAATCATCGATGATGTGAGGCGGGACTCTTTGGGTTATTATTGGATATATTCACAAACGGGTGAGTCTCGCCGCAATTTTTATGAGATGGTTATGATGTCATCACACAAGAACAAAATATCCCATTCAATTATCGTTTTATTTCGAAGTGTTGCAAACCATTGCGCCCCCATTATCAAGAAAGATTATGAATTTTTCAATCCACAATACCATAAATTTCATCAATACTTTTTTGAAAAATTATTTTTAGATGGTCAATCACAAAGGAGATCAGGCATCAATATTGAATCCTCTCAAGTCCAAGGTTCTGGTTTTCATAACGTTGTTATTAGAAGACGTCTAATTTTCTTTAACATATTCGAGCTTTTATTTGTTCGCAGATAAACAATGGTTTCATTCTCATCGACATCGCTTTTATACAGACTACGAGACCTATCTCTGTCTGCTGTCGTCTGCAAGCGATGGTAAGAAAATCGTAAAACATTGAAATAAAATTTATTCACTACAATAAATATGTGTACGATGGCATATCAGTAGCTTCTTGTCCGGAAAGAAGTTTGGCCACTGCACAATAACATCCAATATCCGCCTATACAATGTATAAAACTCGAAACTACAAAGAACAGAATCAACGTGAAAATTTAGCGAATGATATGATAATATTTTAGCTGAAGCTGTCCAATTAGACGTTACGCTTTTAAATATCTCGAAAATACGCGCCGCCGGGGCCCACAAGAAAGAAATATCTTACAATTATCTTATACTTATTAATTATATTATTCTTATAGACCGAATACTTTTTTTCGTCCCACGATTACATTCCCTTTCTCATTTGCAAAAATTTTTGTGAACAGTTTTAGTCAATCACTGCAGATAGAATTTCTTCGATTGGTTTCCGAACGGGCGTACCCTGTCAGGATAATTAGTTTGACTTTGCCCTAACCCACAAACCGCTGGTATTAATATTTCCGTTTGTAATTTAGAGAACGGAAATTATGAATGAATGCCGTTTACAATAGTTATCTTACTGTGTTTGCAGGTCAGAAAATTTTGCAATGTTTCACCCGGACTCCATCGTTATCTGGCGAGGAGATTTCCAAGTTGACGTCGTTTGCAACTGAACAAGGAATCGACGCAGCGACGTTAACTACCTTCGGATGTGGAGATCTGGTTCCGTCAGACTATTTGTTGGGTTAACAATATTATTAGCATTTTTGTGCAATGTCGTTTTAGTTGTAATTATTCAGAAGTGGTCTTAAATCTTTATGAAACAAAAACACCGATTATACAAGTATAAAATTTGTTGTGATTTATCAAAAATTTGATTCTTGACATATTAGGTGGGAACATTCAAACCGTTTCTTCTTAATGCATAATCACACAAAAAATATTTTTCTTGAAATTGATTTCATCATTGTTTGAAATAAAAGATCTTCAAGATCTATACTATCGCAATCAGTTATTGGAGACGTCTTGGTTCAAATTTGTAAAAGCTTCCGGCTCGCCACAATGGAGATAGTTTTGCAATTGACTGTAGAATCATATTTATTTCGCACAAAATATGACGAAGTCGTCATATTCAGCTTATGATGAGTTATGATGATATGAACAGAACAATATTAACAGATAGATAGGTATATAGTTGCTTTTCTTCTCGAGACATAACGTAATGGGCGATTAATGATGTCGTAATCTTGTGATGTGACCTTGTATCATTTAGGCAATTATATCTATAATAAATTTATGCGATAGGAATGCAATATTGTGTAACTTATACTTAACTTCATTTGGGTATCCCAACTACATATCGCAATGTGCTACGTTTTGTTTAGATATTTATAACCGAACACAACAAAACTGGTCACAGCGGCAAACAACAAACTCTCTTGTGCAGTATTAATGATAATCTTTTATGCATTGGGTACTATCCTACTCCAATTTGTCGTCGTTAAAAATGGCGCGACTACAGCTTGCAAGGTTATTAAACAACGCGTCATGCTCATAAGAAGGTTCCCGATAAAGACAGTGGAGACCTGGGGAAGAAAAGCAAAAACCAGGTTAAAAAAGAAAATATAATCGAGTGGAAAAAGCAAGTCGACGCGTTAAAAAGGACAAGAAACGCGAGAGAAGTAGTGAGATAATGCTGAGCAATGGAGTTCATAACCAGGACGGGTAGGAATCCAGGACTTAGAGTGAGAATGAGTAGCAGGTACGTCACTAAGTGTAAGTGATAATACAAAACGAAATTGACAGTAGTCAGAATGTGCACCTGGTTGGCGATAAGTATGATATTAGAGAAATAAAAAACATCACAGGCACATTGTCAGGCCGGACAACGAGGTTGCCTGATGCCTCTCTAAGCGCGGGCGTCTAAACCGATAAAACTGAAAATTGCGCTTGTGTGAATTCTTCAGTGCAGCAAGAAATTAAATTCATCGCCAATATGCCTTGATAAACAGGTTTAATTAATCCAAAAGCAAATATTTATATGTGAACTGCACTGAGACTGTTTACAATTGTCATAATTGTCTATTTTTAATACGTCTGGAATTGAAACATCGCTTTCTACCAGTAATGAGCTAATGCAGGGGTGTGCAAATCTTTTATTTGTAGAATGTAGAGTAATCGGTTGAGCAAAGATGCGGATGTGAGTGAAACCAGGTCTGTCCTGTAAGTAAGGAATACATTTACTTTTTTGATTTTTTGCTTCGGGAACAACTATTGTATTTTTCACCTTCTGAAAGAAGTTTCGTATTTTGGTCAGCTGATTGGATTATTGGTATGACATCAGGTTGGTATTATATCAACTACGAAGTTCAGAACAGACAAGTATAAGGAATAAAATGAAAAGCACGCTTACCGGTGTGTGTTTGCATCCAATATTGGCCCAAAGAATCCCGCTTGCTGGCTGTTATTACGGTATGTGGAGCCTCCGATTTATCTCTGTTAGAAATCAGTTAAAACGGTTGTTACTACTCGCTTGTTACTACTCGTTTGTTAACTATTTTTGGACACGAAATGAACCTATAAATGGTTGTTCTTGTTGTTATAAAAAATCGCCCTTCTCTTTAATTACTATAGACCAATTGCTTTGTAATTACCAGTTTTTGAAAATTGCATTTTTCGTTATAAGGCTATTACTTTTATTGATTTCAAATATTTCTGTAGTCTCAATGGGATTCGTTTGTTTTGTGTGCGATGTCGTCAACAAAATTAAAAATTGAGCACCCTGTGTCGGTTCCACGGTTCGCGTTGGTTGCTTTCTGATGGTCAGACGAAGTCCTGCAGTACCGATAGTCTAACGTGAAAAATTGCATACCCGTACTATCTCACTTTAGAATTCGTGTCCATATATTTGAGCATTGATCTTTTGTTCGTGCAATATATATATATATTTTTTTTTTGACTTAAAAATAAGTAAAACTTACTTAGGAATATTGTACGTGTACATATTCATCTCATTCACTGTAATGTTGAAAGGTGCCACGATGTGACATTTCCACAAAACATTCCAGTTCCAATAATCAACACCGAATGTCAGAAACCAAACTCCACGTAACTGAGAGCAAAATATAATTATTTTGTATAATTACGAAAGCATTATAAACTATTTTATGCTATATAGAAGTATAATATTTAATACCAAACTATTCCCCTAATTTGTCTACAACAAAATGATCATAGATTTGAGGTAAAGGTAACATTCGAAAAAAGCCGACGAAAATGGAAATATTTTATGAGCGATGATAGTCATTTAGATCAAGGACGTGCAACTTGCGTCCCACGGGCGAAATGCGGCCCACGAAGCTAAACTGTAGGGCAACCGTACAGCGCCAATTTTGAATGGGGTACGGCTCGCAAAATGAGTTTATAATTTAGTATAATCTGGTGCGTGCGAGTAATTTCAATCCCATTGCGTTGTAAAGCCTATACCTGAGTCAAATTTAATATCTATGCCTATGACGTTACAATGCCCTAACAGCTAGCTATTGGGAAGCGAACGACGCACGCTACCCAGTATCTGGCCTTCCTGTATCAAATGCTGCACACCCTTGATTTATATTCTTTCAGGTTCAAATAAGAGGGCAACTTTGTAAATTTAGTTTCTGATATTTACTAAAATCTGATTTTGTAACTTACGCGTTCAATATCTATTTCGTTTCCTGAATATATTTCTTGACTCCATGCACTCGATAGAAACACAACTAATATTAACACAGAATTTCGCAGAGACATCGCATCCGACCTTGTGTATTATATGTATATCCCAATATAAATGAATGATAGAACGCTTCCAGAAAAAATGTTGTGAAGAAATTATAAACATTACACATTATCTCATGATGCCCCGGTGCCATTGTTTTGTCTGCTGTTGTTCGTCATATTTCATCTGTAAGTTTTTATTGTGTGAGTGTAGCCTACACCAGGGCTACTCAACTGGCGGACGCGCGGTTCGAATCCGGACCTTTCGGGTATTCGATTCGGACCGCGCATAATCCTTCATTTTGAATGATTAGCCCCACTTTTGAAGTTTTCTTTATAAAATCACTTTTATAGATTTAAAAATATATATATATATGAAAAGAACTATAACGCCATAACAAACAATCTTGATTCGCTAATAATCATTAGTCGGCCGAGGAATTGCGTGTTTAAAGATGCCGAAATATAATTTTTGGAAAGTCCGGACCCAAATATTTATAACGTTTTGTATGCGGAACCTTCGGTAAAAATAGTTGAGTAGCCCTGGCCTACACCAGCAGGTTTGCTTCAAAGCGCGAATGTAGAGCATTTAGATTGTTTGTTGTCATGGCAAGTCTTCGCACGTGTTCTCATCCTACTACTCTCAAAACCAAAATCGTTTTTGTGCACATTTTCAATGCAAAAAGTGATTCAGAGTGTATTTTTTTATTGAAATACCCCGCGCATCGCTGTGGAAATCCGAAATGGGGCCTTTTGAAAGCTGTACATACTGCCGGAATAATGATTTCAAAAAATGTTAAAAAAATTTTGCTTTGACTTTTACTCTCGTAGCGTCGCTCCATCACCTACAACAAAGTTATCAGATTGTACCAGCAAAGTGAAAAATACAAGAAAAATCACGAAACATTGCTCACGGGCCTGCTAAATTCAATCCTAATACGGGTGAATCCCAGGCTCGTTCACCACCTAAATCTGGTAAAACCATTGTGTTAGTATAATACAATAATGGAGAATTTATTTCCACCGGCGGCAACCTACACTATGGGGCGCTCCCGAAGTATGTGCACCAAGATAGCGCACAACCTAAACCCTAACCTGGTACACATACTATTTTCAGGTTGTGCGCCATTTTGTTGCACATACTTCTGGGGGTCCCACTATGGTACCTACGTACCTCTGAATCTCGAGAAGGACGGGGCACTGTGCAAGCAAATTGCTGGACTCCTCGTCTTTGCAGAGTGATTCACATAGGGGCTTGTCGGTTTTTGGCTTCCTCCACCGCTAAATACGTTTGCGAACGCATTGTGCTACAGCTTGAGAGGGCATGAGCAATACGTTAGTCTTCAATAGATGTTTTGATCGAGTTCTAGAATCGCTTACGCAAGCTTTTATATTTACCTCTTTGTTTAAACCTATTAAATAAAAGAGAATAACAACAACAGCAAAATAGGTAAAGCATTTGTTTTAAAATATTATCTTTTTAAACAAATTGTTGCAATATAATATACTTCATACCTAGTCTTCTAGGTAAATCAAATTTTAGCATCAATTATACTGAAAAATAAGAATGCAAAGACAACTTAACTTTCGCCACGCGATCTATCAGTAATTAATCAAACACTGTCGCAATACCTGCAAACAGACCCTTTGCCGTGAGTTTCAACTCTCGTTGTATCACGTGTAATTTCTCGATATAGAGGCCATAACCAACTAAATACTTTATTAAATTACCGATCACCGTCTTTGACAATAATGACAAACGACGCGCCGACGGCGTTCTACTCGAGATTGCCTGATTAAAAGCAAACATCTCGATTACTGGAAATCTGGCGGGTCACTGCTCTAACACGTGGTGGGGTGGTTTTACACGAACATTGCGCTTAAGCTTAAGCAGGCGTTTACGGGCAAGTCATCGATACTTGCGGTGTGTCGAAGGGCACATCGACTTTGACAATAAGAATCGATTAGGCAAGTTTTTATGTCTTGTTTTAGCCTATATTAATACAAAAGATACAAATAATACATCTATTTTGAACAAAACAGGTAAAAAACTTGATTTAAATAATTGTTCCAAAACAAATCTTTTTGAACAATCAAAAAGGATCCGACAGGATTGATAAATTCAGCCAAACCGCTGAAACTGCACATATTATATAAACATGACCAAATCTGATTGTCACAAGATTGTCACCAATAGACCTTATTCATTAAAAACCCATCCTACGCGCAAAAAATAAAAGTGATGTAAAAATTTTTTTTTTAACATTAGCTCTTATAGGAAATGTGATCACCAGAGCAGAAGTTTGCATTTTTCGTAATTTTCTAGATATCTTTCATTGTATACGTGAGCAGTTTTGAGGATAGAATATTTTTTACATCTTTTTTGATATTTTTATCATGATAAACATGGTCAAGATTTTTGATAATCGTTCATTAAAATTTTAATAAACGCGGTGTTTCCGATGACGTCATTCTCACTAGACCATGAGATTCTGCCAACTCGCCGTGCTCTGTGGGTTATGCGCTGCAAATACAGCCCTAATGTCCCTTTGGGTCCGTGTCCGTCCGGTACTGGAAGCGTTTAACATTGACAATCTATAACCCGTACCATTTCTATCACGTTTGTTTACTGGTTTTACGCATTTATACCTGTACAGCTAGCAATCATTTACTGAAGGCATGCTGACGTGTTATTCAAACTACCGGTACCGTACCAAGGCTGCAAGAGGTGAAAACTAAATTATTTAGTAAATACTGAAATAGGCGTACGAACAAAAATGTTGGCCATCTTGCCGATTGGCAGGACAAGTTGTACGGTACCTGTATACAAAAAAGATGAATATCTCCAACCTATAATGGTACAATACCGGTCTCATAACTAGATTAAAAACATGACTGAATACGAGAGAGAGATTTATTTTGTCAACCAGAATACAAGCATTGAATCAATAAAAATCATATACAAAACACACAGTTATTCGGTATAGACTGGGGAGCGATACGACCATCACAGTCAGCTCACCCCTGCCCCCCATGTTTGCTATCAAGATTAACAGTTAATTAAGATGTTTTAACAACAACTCCTCGGAGGAAGGGTTGACTAAGTTACGGAATATTTTTGGATTCGGTTAAAAATGTAGTCCATTATTAAACACTGCTTTTTTGTAGATTTTCACTTAGTGGACACTTAGCAAGTACGACAGTTAATTTATAAAAAAAATTGTAAATTAATAACAAATCATTAGAAGTCAGCTCGGGTATTCAAACATGTGATGAATGAAGTCAGAAAATAATTTGAAGTCACGTTCAGGATATTAAATTAAACAACAATGGAAAAGGTACATTGGAATCAGTCAAGCTTCAAATGCTAATGGCATTAATGAAAAGAATATGCGAAATGAAGACTGAAGTTTCCATCTGAGACATTGGAAGACGCTAAAACCTTATAGACTTGATAGTGTGGAAAGCCTTCTCACAATGCAGTAATAATGGGACATATATTTATAATATCATTATACAGGCTTTAAGTTGAACTATATGTTTGATTAAAATATCTATCTTTGCTAATAAATGCTGAAAACCATTTATTTCAATCTGCTGAGTGATTAGGGACAGAAATTTGCTGTAGGGACCATCACCAGGGCTGGATTTACCAATAGGCTAGGCAGACTGAAACCTAGAGCCTCGAAATTCGGTTTCAAAGTTTTTAATTCTTTTGAAAACTTGACAAGTTTAAACCCTACAAAAAGTATATATATATATCAAGCTTTTCAGAGTTGAAAATTCTGTATACAACAAGTTTCAACCACATTGTAAACAGCCATCATTGCGTCGTTTGCATCATAATAAGGGAAATTATTATTATGCGCATTCTGCTGGAAGTTTCTATAATAAAGTATGGCTGTAGCGGTTGTTTGATCAAAGAAATTGAAAGCAAAACTGCCTCAAGTAAATTATCATTCTTTTAATTAAAAATTCACACCCATGAATGGGGAGAATGAAAAGTTTAATGCTTTCATATTTTTAAATTTTAAGCAATTAAATGTGGTGTTGTTTAGAGTGAAATTCTGAGCTCAAAAATATGAAGTGGCCTCTCATGGTCTAAATCCAGCCCTGAACATCACCAATTTTGGGATAGGTACCGTACATGGTAGGTACCGTCAACATATGAACTGAGTTAGGCCATTGGATTTTGAAAGGTGTACCAGAAATGTACATGGAATTCATGAAATATATAACATCCAATTTGTGGTCCCGGTACCGGTATTCCAGTATGCTGTTATCACAAGCAGTTGGAGCACATATCCCACAGAGCACGGCGCGTTGGCAGAATCTCATCGTCTAGTGAGAATGACGTCATCGGAAACACCGCGCTCA